GTCTGCCTCCTCCTCCTCCCCTTCCACTAGGGGTGGTTGGGTTAATAACAATGCCGAGTTTACTAGAGAGATGAGGATACCCCAGAGGGCAGTTGGTAAGGCGATTGGCCGTGGAGGAGAGACCATCAAAAGGTTGAAGGACGAGCTCAGTACATTCATTCAAGTAGGAGTGGAGGGCCATAATGGCGGTGACGATTCTGGTCGTGATAGTCGTCGCATCTTCAGGTTGACCAGACTACTTCCGATCAAGGTTTTAGCACTTTCAAAATCAGTGGTCCTACTGCTGATTCTGTTGAGGTACTTCTCGTTGTCTCTGTCTTGTCCACCGATTCAGTGTTTCAGGCTGCGATATCTCATTTAAAGGGAGTCGTCCTATCATGTGAACCGTGTGAGTGTCTATATCCTGATGATGTTGAAGAGGAAGTAGAAGTGCCCGCTGATAAGGTCGGGACTGTCATCGGCCCCCAAGGGTAACAACACTACTCCCTGGTATTTTGACGGCCGCCGATCATGTTGCATCATCCTTAGGTGCGTGCTTGATGAGGTCCGTCGCCGCAGCGGCTGCCGAGTCCAGCTGCAGCCCGTCGAGATGGAGGATGGGAGTCCTCGCTCGGCTAAGGTCGTTGGCACAGCTGATGCGGTAATGTTGCTGCTGGTGGTGGTAGTAGTCATATGGGAGACTACACACTGTTTAGGTGCGTGTCTGTGTGGACCTCCTCAACGATGTTATAAGTGGTGCCTTCGATGTGAGCTCAGTGATCAACCGTCAAAAGGCTCACTACCAACGTCTCAAGTCGGGCACTTTGGGTGGTGGTAAAGGCAAAGGCAAAGGCAAAGGGAAAGGTGGTGGTGGCGGCGGCGGCTATTGGAATGCTAATAATTCGGCTGCTGCTGGTGGTCCTGGTGGGACTGCTATGGGAGGCCCTGGTAATGGTGGTAATATGGTGGGCCAGCAGAATCTCAACTACCCTACGAGTATGGGCGGCTTTGTCCCACCCCAAGTTATGTATTCACCACAGATGTTCGCCGCAGCTAGTCAAGGGATGCTATCACCACACATGTCAGCCACAGCTAGTGGGCCTATTCCACCTTATTTAATGTCGATGTTTACCGGTTATCAACAACCACAGCAACAACAGAGTCCTAGTGGGGGTCCTGGGATATCGGCTGCTGAGTTGACGAGGCAGATGCAGCAAGGGTCTGCTACACAGTCGGCTAGTGGTGGGACTGCTGCTGGTGCTGCTAGCAATAACAATCAGTATTTGCAACAACAGCCACCGATGAATATGCCTATATCACCCCAAGGTATCATAACACCCCAGCAGGTCGTGGCTGTCCACCAGACTCTATGGCGTGGCCAACAACAACAACAACAGCAGCAGCAGAATGAAGCGGCCCCTGAGGTGTCTGATACATCAACTCCTACTATGAGTAACAATAATAACGAGGAGGGAGGCCAGGCCGAGCGTTCGTAAAGGGGGCTCATGAACAGCTTGATCATCATCATCGTTATGGTGATGATGATGAGCATCAGCAGCACTATGATGGCCGGTGTTGCCCTACTAGGCCGTTCTCTTATTTGTCACATTTGGTAATTGTATGACTAGTAGTAGTGGGCCGCCTTGGCAGTCGATGTACAGCAACAGCAGCAGCAGGGTTCGGGGTTCAAGTTTGCTCAATAATACTAATGATCGGTGTTGTGGTCATAAGCTGCGAACGCAGCTGAATTAGCAGCAGTCTTAAGAGTGAACTCGTCTGTTATAGTCATTGAAGCCACCATTCGAGCCAGCCGAGGTTTTCCTTACATTGGTGCTGTGTTGTCACTATAGGGTGTCGAGCACCGAGCGAGCCATCACACATCATGGAGGACAGGAGGCAATCCTCACGTACACACCATCATGGTGCTCGCAACCGCATCACCTCCAGGCGAGTGAGATCAGCTCACAGTCACATCGTTCATGCTTCCCTCCCTCCCTTACTAGCACTTCAAAAAAGGGTAGTTGATCGAGCGCTAGTACCCGGTTTCCACCCGATACTAGAATCGACAGCTGTGATGCGCCCGATGATGTGCGTGGTAAAGTAGTTGTGGGGAATTCCTTTTCGCAAGTGATGGTGTTCTGTGATGCTGTAACGGGAGTAATGATGGTAGTCTGACGAGACTGAGTCAATAAGGGGCCACAGACCAATTCGAATAGTTTCGTCTACTTGTGATTCAACATACTGCCATCATATGCACTCGGCGACCGTGGTGCCCCCAACGTGGCCCTTGTTATCATCGTCATGAGAAACCGCAATTGTAGCCGTTCTCGAGGGGCATCCTTCGTAGAGCCACGTGGCTATCAGCCATCACCTGGAAATAACTGCCTCCGGCCCGCTCGACGCGAAGGTTCAGCCTACAAATCGGCGATGTTATCCGAACCCAAGGCCCTCATAAGGAGATCCCTCAACTCCTCCTAGCCATGGGGGAGAAGTGTGAGCCACTCGAGTGCTTGGAAGGGCAACAAAACCCCACGAACGAGTCCTTCACCGTTGCGCGATATCGCTGATAGAGTATACTCATCTTTGCGCCTTTGAGGTTGTCGAGGTGACGACCGGGCACCCTTTGTATCTCGGTGTTTGGAATGTGACAACACTTCGAAACGCAACTATAGGAAGGTTTCAAACGCATAAGTACTTACGGAGAGACAGAGCAGCATCCCATGGGGCTTCAATATGCTCCCCCTTCACAATTGTATGGGCGTGCGGATGGGTCAAGTTATTCGTATTCTGACTGGTTATCCTTGCAATGCTATCAAGTAGACGTGAACTAAACGAGATCAACACACTGTAGTGGATTGTGTCGCGTATGGCATCTGCGACGACTCAATCAAGTAGTAGAGTATTTCTACTACATGACTGAGCTCTCCCCAATGCCGTTGGTATGTCGACATCGCCGTCCTCAAGCACACCTTTTCAATGTCTTTCCTGAACCCCAAGACATTATGCGTATTATCTAGATAGTAGCCTACAACGGGCGGTATCCACCCGTTGCTTCCTGCGATGATAAAGCGGATATCACAAGGCTAGCTCCAGCAGATAGCCGAGTACTCTGTCACCATGTATAGAGGCGAGCCTCGACTACTACCGCGATAGTAGTAGTAATATGGGCTCTTGCTGGAGACCTTCCAGCTGACCATAGAATGACCCCCACCATCAACGGAGATGAAGGATAAAAACCAGGAGTGGCCGGTACACAATAACATCAGTGTGGTAGAATATTCGCATGGTCAACTACATGTGTTGGTGAGAATACGAAAATTCTGGGAGGAAATTTTGGGAAATTCCCATTGGTTTCCGAATTCGAAAAATACTCCTGTTATCAGTAAGGAAACTTCTGAGGGAAGCGAACGTGCATTTCCCAACACTGCAAAGCATTGTTTTCAGAGACGACTTGCAACTGTACAGAAACTGTTCTCGCATTGTATAGCGACAACACTGAGGATCTCCTTCACCATCTCACACTGCTTTCCCTCCGACAATACACTGAACGGTGGAAGGTGAAGAAAAAGAGCGCGCCCCTTCATGTTGGCGAGTGAGTGGAAGAATATATAATTACAAAGATATCGGCCAGCATCATCAGAGACCTCCACGCGACACCCTCGTTCTTGACAAGCCCCAACGATCGCCTCTACACTCACTGAGGTTTGCAGCTTCTCGGGTTGGCCCGGCAAGATCTCACGCCCACTGAGCTGAGCACCCCGCACATCTGGCACTCGAAAGGTGGCCACGTTATGGGCCGTACCTGAGGCCTATGCTTCTCTAAGTAGAGGGAATGTTGTACTCACGTTCTAGTTTCAAGTGATCACATTGGGCATCAACGCCCATGTGCAGTAGAAGGACATTTGTAGCCTTGGATAGTTCCTCAGCCTTTTTACTCATTGCCATCGATACTCGCCCACACTCCTCAACCGAGACCTCCACAGCTGAGCTGAAGACTTCATAGTCGCTACACGTGCCTGATACCATTCGTCGTAGCAAGGACTGTCGAGGGAGTTGGTTCACCTATATGTTTGTCTTCGGCATTTTCCAAAGCCTCGGCTACAGCTTGCGTAGGGTTTTCCTCAACGCCGCTGAAAGGGCCGAAGCCTGTTAGTAAAATATGCACTCCCTTTGAAGTGCCGTCAGCACTCATCACGGATAATACTATTTAAAACTAAACTGAATTATAGGGGCCGTTCGATACACAGATTTCGTAAGCCAGAATCGCTTCTTACACGTATAATACGATGCTAGAATCGGTTCGAAATCCCAGAGCTTATTCTATAAACATGGGAGTAAGTTTATCACCAGTTGAAGCTGGCGATATAGTAGCCGAGACTATATGAGGCTAGTCATCACTTTTATATCACCTTAGATTAATATATATAGTATAGATAATTAGTATATATATATATACTAATCTATGATCTATCTATAATCTAGTATATGTATAATATATGAAATGGGTATAACTAATAATATACGTATCTTTATGGTGGAATAATGTGATAAAAAATACTCATAATATTATGATATACTAATTAGATGACCTGTAGCATGTCACTTCACTGGAGACGGACCGATAAGAGGCCACAGTGATGATGCCTTCAACGGCATGAGGTGACGGACCTTATTGCGACACTTCTCTATGCTTACCAGGTGAGTATTTGCGGGATTTATGGTAAAGTTAGAACGGGACACGACTTGTGTCACACGAGAATCCCTATTCCCTCTTAGTGCTTCGTAAGGGTATCTGGCGTACCCAAAACGTAACAAATACAACCTTCATGGAGAAAAAGTAATGCCACTCCGGGCGCGCGCTAACTACAAGTGTACGTGGGCTCGCGTGCAAGTAGATTCATTCGTCGTCGCGTCTCATCAGCTCATCTCTATCACAACAACTTTCCATGCACAGAGGTAGACGATTCGCCTCGCTCACTAACGACTACCCCGGGTCGAGATGGCAGTAATACCGCACCTTGAGTACATCTATTAAGCCTTCTTATCTCAGGCCTGTGGCCTCCTCTAGATCCCCATCAACTGTCTATCCCTCAATACTGGAGGGTCTCACTATACTCATTTTGGTGTTCTTCACCGTTCGCTTCGTGGTGCCTGTATTCTCACACTTTTTCAAAGTGGTGCGGCGAAGTTACGAAGCTCATCCGTACGCCCCCTTCGAAGTAGACGTCCGACCACTGGATCTACAATTTGACGAAACCAGGTATGTCTTGTTTACACATACCCTCTCTCAGTGAACTCGTTCTGAAACGCATGATGGGCTCTATAATAGATTGGTAACTCGTATATCATAGTTACAGAGTGAACCCATGGTGTCGAAATCGGTGTTAACTCCCCGTTACGCTTTCTCAAACTGGTGTCGATCGCAATCATTGACTATCACAACTTCGCTTGTCGAGGAAGATGTTTCATTCTTCCACAAATTTTCATTGGCCGGACTTGCACCAATTTTAAGCTGATATTGCGAAGTATGCATTTATGCAACGTGAGTGCCAAACTGATTTTGTTGTCCATGTTGACTCGAAAACTCTGAGAATTACCAGCAATTCTCAGAGTCGTCCTTGTTTAGGTCTCTCATGGATAGGAGCACATTTACAGATCACTGCTTCTTCAATGCTGTACAACTGCAAACTCGGGGGACACAGGCTGGTTATCTCTCCCCGGTGTCCGTCGCATCCGATGACTTTGTGAAAGTGTGAGCTCATTTTCTACTGCCCAACTATTCCTGTTAACTCAAGCAACATGTCACTACCAGTTAATGTGAGTGATCTTACTCGGGGAAGGCTTTGCGTTTATCTGAGTGCTCCCTAGTGAAGCGTTCACGATACATTATCGTCCAAAATGAACGGCTCATCATCATGAATAAGTTGATGATCTCATTGTCATTGAAGAGGAAATTGAGCAGGGGTCCATGCTCATTCCAATCACATCAGTGTAAAACAGTGTCGATCAAGTATTCACAGTTTCATCAATCCTTGCCCGAGTTAGAATATTTATTCACTCAAAATCGACAATATCCACGACGACTTATCTACCCTCGCGATAGTACTGCGCACTACAAGAGTTTACGAGATACGTATGACGTGTTAGTACCGAACCGATATGAACGTTTGCGTCAACCGTGTGACCATAAGGCGGGTTACTTATCGCTCGCCTCGACGGAAACGGCTTGAAAACGGCTACAGAACGGGGGGAAGACGTTCTGAATGTTGTCAACTGGTGCATAGTTTGACAGGTTCCTCCCGATTGTGGCGATGTCATCCTCGTTTCCTTGGCCTGCCGACTGGAGCCCTTACCATAAAGACCGTCTGGAGCGCTATTGTCACGGTCGTGGGCACTGGGTTAACGGCAGGTGCGAGTGTGACGACCAGTGGGTATATGGGTGGTCTACCCACAAGCCTAATGCCTCGGAGAATATGAGATACAGTGCTATCCTGTAGCTCTTCTCGGTGATGGAAAGTCTGCTAGTCGTCATCCATTCAGGCAATGTGCTATCTGGGGTGGCAAAATACGATGGAACGAGACGATCCAAGGGCATGTGCAGTCGAGAGGAATCATCTACTGTAAGTTCAATGAGCCTGTGTAGTTTTCTATCGTTCCCTTCAGTATGCGAAGACCTTGTCAGAGGAAATATCCCGGATGTTGCTGGTGGAATGTTGTAGCCCTCTACAGACGCTGTGGTCCTTGCCAATAACTCTTGCCATGTTTTTCAAGGTGCTTCCCCACCAATTATACCCAGTTCGAGTACGAGTGGCATCCCTGTACTTCCTCATCGACAGAATCGTCGCTGTAAGATAGCAGTTCTACTTATCAGATCTATCCGAGAACATCGACTGTCCCTACACATGGAATCGCTTCATGCAGCGTTGTGAATGCCAAGAAGGAGTTATATACGCCAAGCGTAACCCTTTGACAAGTTCGGTCATGCTCGAAGCTGATGAATGGCACATGTACGTTTAACCAGTGACTATCGTCGAAGCTCAGCTGTCCGTTCGCAGTCCTTGCCCAAAGAGAGGTACCGGCTTGGCCTTGCCGGACAATGGTTCTCACTGGCTCGACAGGGATATCCCTGCTCCAGAAAGATGGCCTCATATAAGTGGGTATTGCTCTCTGTCGCTGCTCTCTGACCCGCCGTGCTCGTCAGTACCAGACTGTCACGGTCGCGGCAACTGGTCGGAACGGGAGGGAATCTGCATATGCGAGGAGGGCTGGAGGACAACGTATACTCCTGGCGGGACTCGCGAGTAATCCACAGAGCTTCCTCAGGAGCTGTCCAAAAATGCACTTCTCAGGTTCTGTGTCAAGAATGTCACTACAACGCGCCCTCCCGTAGGATCCTCTCGCGCTCTTCCCGTGGTTATCTCCATTTGCCCGTCTCCGTTGGTTATACTCCTTCAGCGATTATATGACTGGTGTCTCAGAACTCGACCCATGCTCCGGTGTGGGGACGTATTGTTGGGGTCACTCCTACTCCGGGGCAGTCCAACAGCAGTGATACGCCGATGATCGTTGTTGCAATACCGTTCCTTGTCGTCATCGTCGGCCAACTTTTTGCTATCCTCTGGCTGTAAGTTGTTGATGTTGCTGTTCAAGCCGTACACAATCTCCGCAGGTTTAAGGCGCTCCGACGACAAGCCAAGGAGAGCAGTTCAGCGGGGACAGTCGAAGCCTCTTCGAATGGGGGTTCGGCAAGGTATCGCCTGCGCGGAGGTTTTGCGTGGATCCCGAACGACGCTAGGGAGTTGTTTTCAGTCCGACCGGAGAAATTCACAACGCCAGTGCTGGTCCTCTTGTATGTGCACCTGTTAAGTCGCCATGATGGCTGTGTCAAACACAGTATTTGGCCGAATTGGAAATGCAGCACACTAATGTTTCTTTTGTGTGATCATGAAGTTTTCTTAGAAGCTCTGGTTAAGTATTTTGTGTCGTGTTCTCCAGTGATTCGTCTGAAATAACAACACAAAAGAATGCTACTGTTTGTGAAGTAATAATATATTAAATGCGATATTCTAGCTCCGATATGAGCTTTTGCTCTTTTCCCTGGTGATTTGGAATCCATGGAAGTAAAAACTAGTATACTGTTTGTACGAGAGGAATTTTAAACTGGTCGATTATGAATTCGATCGGGAAATGTGCCTCGGGAAAATTACTCCAAAGCTCCAACCCATCGTCTGTCCACGTCGAAAGTGAACGAAATGACTGTAACGTTAGTTATCCCTCTGCTTCTATTGAGAGGAACTGTCGTTTGCCTTGATTGTACACAAGGATCCTGTTTCTACCCAATTTCCAAGGCTTGAGGCCTAACAAGAACCACAGCCAGAGGCAGGGGATAGAAGCTGAGCAACGGCTTCGCATTAAGAAGCCTATCGAGAAAATCCATGATGGATTAATAGAGTGCCATCCGTCCTCGAAGCAACTATCATCCCATACAGCTCCAACAAAGTCCCTGTCTGCTCAGTTGGTTTTTGGCTTAACTCTACTCTACCGAGATGTCCTCGAATTGACAAGTAATCGGATCTGATTCCAAATTCGACAATTTCTTTGTGACTTCATAAAGAACACAACCCGACAGACACTCTATTGTGTTGGTCTGGAAGCAACACGAGGGAGGAACTCGAGGAGCATCGCGTTCTCATTGGCTTGCAACTTGACCTCGATCACTTTTGCATAGACAGCATACTTTTCAAATTAGTGTATCATTTCTTGTGCTTCAATGAAGCGCTCTTGCTTCTACCGACAGCCAAATAGATGTAGCTGACTACCTCGAATCAGCCGCCAAAACATTCGTTACCCTACGAGCAACTCTTCGAATCCACCACGTTTGACTGCGGTTGCATCACCTTCAGCCTCTCATCTCAATTGACGTCGGGACGGAATAGAACTCAACGACGATCCCCTGCCAAACGAAGCGAAAACATAGTAGCGCGCAAGAGAGTGGATAACCGAAAACTCATTCATGATAGTCACAGCCATCAATCATGAATCGGTAACAAAAAGCGTAAAAAAATAGCAACAACAGTAACCTTCTGGACAAGTTAAAGGCCAACAACACAGACTCAGTGAACTTTAGCACTGGTCCTTCGAAAGGCTAAGAGACATTACTCCAGCCAGAGATACATTGACATGGTCGTTCGACTCGTCGTACGTAACAATCAGAGCTTCGTCAAGCTCCTGAGGCGTCATACCAAGCTCACTAGCCAACTCCACCATCTGAGGATCATTATAGTCAGGCTCCATCGCAGTGCAGTCCTCCATAGTGTAACCAATACCCTTGACATTAACTAGAGGTCTTACAGTCAAGTCGAATGTTTCATCGTTGATAGTAGCGCTGCCCTTAAAAAGCATGTACTTACCGCAATACTTTCCACTAGGAGCAGCTAGACAACTCTCGGCAGGACCGGACGTGGTCGTAGTGGTCGAGGCAGTTGTAGAACCATCAGACTTCGCTGTAGTTGATGTTACCAACGTTGAGGTTGCGAGACCAGTAGAGGCACTACTCGAATCACCAGAAGTCGTCGAGCTAGCCGAGGGTGTAGTGGTCGGTCTGAAGAACGGCTTCCTTGTTGTAGTCTCTGAAGGATTAACTGTAGGTCCATCAGCAGAAGAAGTCGTCGAGCTAGCCGAGGGTGTAGTGGTCGGTCTGAAGAACGGCCTTCTTGTTGTAGTCTCGGAAGGATTCACTGTAGATCCATCAGCAAGAGAAGTCGTCGTAGTGGGTCGGAAGGGCCTCCTCTTGGTAGTGGTCTCTGATGAGACTGTGGTTGAATCATCTAAAGAGCCAGAAGTCGAGGTGATAGGGAACGACGTCATCACAGTAGAAGTCCGAGGAGTAGAAGTGCTCTCAGACGACGACTGTGTAGAAGTAGTTTTGATTGGAGATGCAGTAGTGGCCAGAGCAGCTGCCGTAGTAGCTATACTAGGAGCCGTAGTAGGAGCTGCAGTAGTCGTCGAATCATCACTGCATCCCGTCAAAGAGAGAGCGACAATAGCAGAGGCAGCAACCACGAAAAACTTCATAGTGATCAACTTGGAAAAACACTAGAAACACTGATAACGCTCATACGCGATTGACAACTACATAAATCCTAACGCCATTCACTCAATGATCAAGATCCTCCCCAATGATAATCACATACACCTGAAACCCAATTTTAAGGATAACCTTGACTTTAACAAGTGAATCCATACCTGTATTAGTACTAGCGAGCTATGCCATATTTTAGCGTATCACAAACAGATAAGCAAAAAACGAGTAATGCTAAAAATGCGGATCTGGGTATGATAGAATCGGGCTACTAGATCGAACAGGAGACACGAACTGAAGATGCACTGACGATAAACCTAGTGCTACTCGTCTTCGACAATAAGATGAACTTTTACGATTATTTCAAGGAATGTGGGCTTTTATTACTTTCCTTTATCACTGTCATCTGGTATCGCGCATTTTGTATACGAAATTGATTATATATATGCGCATTGCGTATATGAGCCTCTATTGTTCCAACAGTAGGTATTCTCTATTAGGGAAAGACGCGACCTTACTATCTTCGACGAGGTCTGCTCGCAGGTATAAGATCGCGGAACACTTACACCTTGTCAAACTGTATGGTTGAAAGTTCTACCTCTGAAGAGGATCAACTGGAATTCATTCACAAGAACATGACATTAACAAGTGTGTTTGATCCTCTCACGAGCAAAATACATGTCTGCAGGGCTCAAGAAATTATACATTCCATTTTTATGTCGAGTTGTACTTGCCAAGTCCTCACAGTGACCTTGTATCTTGAAGGAAGGAGTGTAACATCCTTAAAGAAGGACCGTAAGAATTCCTCCTCACAAGGTACGCCTTAATGAGCAGTTCCCAAGTTACAGGCCCACTGACTCGTGTGAAAATTATTTTCCCCCTCGATCTCACTGGATGACCAGTCTTACTCCCCAAACACAAACGCAACGTTTACAGTAGTTTTCTCGTGACAAATCTCCGTAGAGTCAAGATACACATCAACAAACAACAGAGAGCAGCAACAAACATATGTGTGAACTTCTCAACATAGTTTAAAAGTCAAAACAACACCGTCCATCTCGACCATGCCCTTTAGCATTGGTCTTTGGAGAGATTGAGCGATACTCCATCCATGGACATATCAAATGTGTCGTTGGATTCATCATAAGTAATCGTCATAGCCTGCTGAAGCTCAGCGGGGGTCATGCCGAGCGTATCAGCCATTTCCACCATCTGAGGATCATTGTAATCAGGCTCGAAGTCGGTGCAGTCGTCCATGGTATAATCAACACCCTTCATATTAACCAATGGTCTCACAGTCAAGTCAAAGGTACCATTATCAATAGTAGCGGTACCCTTAAACACCATGTACTTGCCACAATACTTGCCACTCGGTGTAGCGGAGCAACTTCCACCGCTGCTGGCAGTGGTAGTCACAACAGAACCAGAGGAACCTGTAGTGGCGTCATTCGACGATCCAGTAGTCACATCACCCGAAGTGGAGGTACGAGGCATGAAAGACCCTTTAGTTGTTGTTTCGATAGAAGGTTCAGTGGTAGCCTGAGCAGCTGCTGTAGTAACCACACTCGTGGTAGGTGCAACAGTAGTTGTTGAATCATCGCTACACCCCGTCAAGGAGAAAGCGACAACAACCGAAACTGCAACGACGGAGAACTTCATATCGGAACAAAAAAAAAGTTCGAACTGAATACAATGGAATAGGTGGGAATGAACTAAGACACATCTGGTATTTAACTATTCCACTGTTATCAGGAGCGCTAACACTAAGAGATTCTGATACCCGAATAGAATATTTCCATGTCCTTGATCGAGCTAAATAAGCTAAGTTAGCCTAGCCATAGGATGTGGCTACGCTAACTTAGCGGCATGATATCTAAACACAAAAATGGCTTCTAGCTATGATGGATAAGTCTCGGTATTCTGGGATCCGAAACAAGTCGATTCGACTTGTTCGCATTATTCGTGGTCAGACTTCGCTGATACGGTTGATCTCGGCTTAGGAATGATCGATTGGCATAAAGCATTTTTGAATTTGGGTCTGTTGATAGTCGTCTTCAAGTAAGAGTCTATCCTAAGTATCGTAGGTCTAAGTTATACAGTCTCCGAATGCTCCCATGGGACGTTTCACAGTCGGATAACTTACAGTGCATTCGAAATGTCTATCATATTATCCTGCACACGGGGGTGTGCGGTACACCGCATTGTGTGCTGTGTGTTGCGTGCTGTCTACCCTGAAGCACCAGCACACAATCGGCCGTTACATAGCTCAGCAGTTGAGCTACAGAGTATATAGATAGATTTGATTTGATTTCCCACTCGAACCCCGTTGTTGAGCTTTGAACTATGCCCTCTGACAATCATGCGGAAGACGAGAACAACCAGTCCGCACATTCTACCGGGATCTCCTCGGAAGTGAGGCAATCACCTCGCTTACATCCCGAGGGGTCCCTTCAGCCCCTGTTGGTCGAGGCTACATCACACATCATTGACACTAACAGGAAGGCCAATAAGGAGCTGTTTCAAGCTCTAACTAACCAGATCGCTGAGACCAACAAGATTCTATCAACTCAGATGTCCAATCTGTGCAACGCTATGGCCCAGACCATGCAAACCATTCAGATGATGCACCCACCGCCCTGTGAGTCCCCCCATCCACAAGCTCCAATGGCTGTTGAGGAGGATATGAAGACAGAGAAGACCGCTATGACTGCAAAACTTGTGAGTACCACTGACGATAAGGCTGCTACAAAAGCTAAGAAGACTGTCGATAAGGCCGATCTTTCGTTCCTAGGCGACCAGAAGCGAGGCACTGCCAACTATTGGACCGGGGATAATGATGGGCGGTCTGTTGTAAGGTTGAAGACCTTGGTTGAAGCTCAGCATCTTTATCGTTTTGGAAACTGGGCTATTAAGTACTTCTTCTGTTTGAGGGTCCTATCGCCAAGCATCCGGGAAGTTGCCGCCCTGACAGTTGAGGGAGGCAATGCTTCGTCATCGTTTGAGGAATGGCACAATGCTCTGTGGTCCCACCTCAACAAGGAGTACTCGGCATCATATACTGAGGAAGACTCCCGTAAGAAGTTGCAAGCCTTGAAGATGTCTATGGTGAGAAGTGATGTAGATATTGTTGGTGCCTATGATGACTACTTGCAGCAGTTTGGTTTGATACGTATAGAGTATTTACATGAGCATGTTGAGACCACAGCCGCTGATAGAGCTCGGAACTCTGAGGAACTAGCTCATTACTTTTACCAAGGCCTTTCTGATCGAGTGAAAGGTAAACTCATTTCGGTGATCGGTGACTCGGCGATCTATAAGGACCTCGACTCTCTCAAGAACATTACAAGGAATGTATGCCGAGTGATCTCGAAGAAGGCCAAATCGAAGATGAGCTCCTCAACTACGAGTCCTATACCAATTGAAGATGCTACTACCTCTCGCTTACTCTACAGTAGGCCTCTGCGTCAGTCAGAGGTTAATATCGTGGAGTCTACCCTTACCAACGACCATATTAAGAGTTGTAAATGTCAGAGATGCTTGAGTCATGGTCACTCAACGGTGTTCTGTCCCGTCGCTGAGATGTCCTATTCACGTCGCCGATGCCGGACTTGTGGTATGGTACAGCATGAAGGTCATTCGACACCTTGCTCTTCATTATCGAAAGGTCCTATTACCTGTATGAGATGCTCGGGTTCGGGGCACTTTGCTAGAGCTTGCCCAGTAGCCGAGGCGAAGCCTATGCCAGCAGAACAAAGGAAGCTTATCTTCGACAAGATCAACGAGAAGAAGGTCTCGGTTACCACAGAGATTTCGAAGCCATCACAGGCCAATCTGGTCTCTCTTTCGACCTCGGAAACCCGGCCCAGTTCAAGTCTCACCAGTATTGACGTTTACCTAGAGACTTTGGAAGCGAAGATTCCCTATAAGCAGTCTGCTTTGATCGATTCGGGTGCGTCTCATTGTTTTATCCATCCTGATTTGATTCATAGATGGAAGGAATCTGGTGTCTCTTTGAAGATCCGGCCCACTGGTTATGTCGCCAGCAGCAGCGATGCCTCTAAAGATCCTATTCCTATTGATACGTCGGTAACAGTTTCTGTGTCTTTTACGCAGAATAGTAGTTCGGTGGTGCTCAAGTGTTACGTCTATCCTGATCTGAGCCATCAGATGTTGCTATCCAGTTCTGTTCTCCGTGATGCTGGCTGCCTATGGTTTATGCTTCCTGGTCACGCCGATTGTATGTTACTCGGTGATTCCGCTCAGGAGGTGAGAGACATTCTCAAAGGTCTAGGGTTTCAGCCTAAGCCATTGACAGGAGGAACCTTGGCTCCAGATTATCTCAGCCTTAACTGCCTCAATCTACGAGCTCTGCAATATGATGGCTTCGAGGATGGTTGGGAATCTACTCGGCGTATGATGTCCTACACCTTACAGCTTTGTGATGGTATTGAGGGTCAGAGTTATGCAGAATGCTATGCTGATGAACAAGAAGCACTTCGACGTTGTGAACAACTAGCTTCCTCTGAATTTCCAGCAAAAGATCGTGATCTGCGGCATGTTATTGAGGACCTCGACAGCGTTGTGACTAAGTGCTTCGATATCCATTTGCAACGTGATCCAGTCGGTGCACCAGATGGGAGGCCGGTCGTTCGAGTACCATGGAAGTCTGATGCGAGGCCACCCGTGAATGGCTTCCAAGCTATGCGCTGCGATAGAGCCATTATGAGGAAGTTGACAACGGAGAAGAAAGAACAGTTCTGTGAGAAGGTCGACGAGTTCATCTCTCTTGGATTCTGCAGCCCTACATCTCCAGCTAAGTCCTTGGCCGAGCTCGAAAGCTATCTACAAGACTCTCGCTCAGATTTAGAGCGGGGAGCTGTCCCATTGCCGTCAGTAACTGGAAGGTTCATTAGAGCCTTCTGTGTTAATGATCCAGTGAGTGTCACTACTCCCATACGGGTCGTACTGGATGCCAGGGCTGAGAACTCGTTTACCTTTGCTTTTCCGGTTGGGAAGAAGGATTCGCCATCCTCATTGGAGGCCAATTTGCTTTATTGGCGAGGCGGCAAGTTTTACTTTAGTATGGATATAAGTAAAGCCTTTTTATCATTGGGGATTCACCCCATTGACCGACCCTACTGCGGTATGCAAGGGGCCGGGAGGACCCTACAGTTCAATTCGGTCTACTTTGGTGCAGGGTGGGCTCCGAGAGCCCTTCAAGAGAGTACTGATTTCTTAAAAGTCCTTTGGCAAGATGAACTTCGAGGAGATCGGCTGAAGATAGGCGCGGCGATCAAGTATCTTCCTTTGGATGAAGCGAGACCCCCTCCTCCTATCCCGCTACCCCCGGTACCCTCTCATCAACCTGATCCTACTGACATCGACTTGCTCAAGCTCTATCTAGATGATGTGGTGGCCTCTGGAAATGATCGCCAACGCCTCATGGGCCTCCGTTCATTTACCCGTTACAAGTTCAGCAGACATGGACTCTATTGTAATCCGGAGAAGGATGATGATAACTTAGACGACAAGACTACTCCGAGTGAAGGCCGTGAGGATACAACGGCACGTCATTTGGGATACAGCTATTTACCGGTATCAGACCATCTCGTAATGGCCTATGGTACAGGTCGTGGCTCCTGTTTGTCATCGCTGCCATCAACGATTCTTACTAAAGCTCAGGCTGTGAGTATCCTTAGTGCTCTATTTGATCCCATTGGATTGTGGAGTGAATGCAGCAATGGTGCTCGCATACTACTTCGGAAAATTGCTCAATCTAATGTGTGTTGGTCCCTGCCTATCCCCGATGAACTTGATGCGGAGATTCGAGGTTGGAGAGACATTGCACTTGCCTGCAAGTACAACTTTCCTAGGCACTTGGATTTTGCCTCTGGCGGACTTGTTGGATTCTCTGATAGCTCAGGTGAGCTGTGGTGCTGTGACGTTAGGGTAGCTTCTACTTCTGGTGTACAAGCTACTACTTTTAATCGGGTGATCTGTAAGTATGGCTATTGCGATGACCCGAAAGGTAGACCCCGAACTATTGTTCTGAAGGAGTTGGATGCCCTCGCTCGCCTATGTGACTTGCTTCAACATGTCGAGACGCTGGTGTCGTGTATGCCGATCGCCACGGCTATTAAGCCCCACTCAGTCACGCTATTTTGTGACTCGGAAATAGTTATTTGGAAGTTGTTGAACTACGGAAAGTCCAAGGGGTGTCTACCACGGTTTGAAGAGAACAGGCTTAAGAGGATCCACGACTACTTCACTGGGTCAAACCGCTATTGCAGAGTCTACCATATTAGTGGTGATGGTAACCCCTCGGACCGTCCGACGAGGCCTAATTCCGAGCCCATGCCTGACGCTGAGATCGACATCGCGGTTCAGAATGCTAAAACTAAGAACTTCGTGTTTGATACATCAGCGGCCAAGCTCAACTCTCAGACCATTTTCAGTAAGAAGAGTAGGTCATCTCCTAAGAAGGTCCTCAATGTTGAGATCATTGATGATGCCGTTTTGCAAGCAGAGATATTACAGTCCCAAAAACTGGACGAGGAATGTCGGCATATTGTGAAAGCATTCGAGGGCCTCAAGGAGGATAAGGTGTCACAAGTGTCTAGAAGCCGGCAACTCCGAGACAAAGTGGTTGTGGATGGTATTGTGCGGCTCCGAACTCTAGACTGGTCTGATGAGAGTGCTCCTAAGATAGGTGGTTGTAAGTTTCTGATCCCCAACGGTGATAAGAAGCTTCAGTTGAAGATTCTTCGACGTTGTCACGATCTCAAGAAGCACTGCGGTGTCTCGGCATTTAAAAGGTATGTTGGTGCAAGATTCCACTGGAAGAAGCTCAAAGCTGACTGTAAGCACCATGTGGAGCACTGTCCGATCACAGACCGTGAGCGTACTCCCCAGAATCTTAATAAAGCTTTTGGTGGCTCTGCAACTTGGCGTAGTGGATTTCGCCCAATGGAATGTTGGGGGATTGACATATGTGGACCTTTTCGAAGACTGGCTTCTGACGACGGTTGGTCCGACGACGACTCAATTTCGAGTCTCGATGGTGCTGATGTGGAGACCTATATCCTGACCGCCACTTGCATCGCTACGGGCTACCTTATGACTAGAACGATGCCCCGTAAGAGTACTGATGCGTGTACTAAGGCTCTATGCTCTATGATCGCTTCGGAAGACTACCCTTTCTGCATTGTGTCCGATCAGGATAAGGCCTTCTGCTCGAGAGAGTTTCAGGCAACTTTGGCGAGCTTCCCGTTCAAGGTCCAACACCTCGTGGTACCAAGATTCTCACCTTGGTTACGAGGATGGTACGAACGTCAGCACCAAGATTTTGTCAAGGCGCTCAGAGCTTCTATCAATCATGAGGTCCTACATCAAGAAGATTGGTCAGGAGTGGTGCAAAGCTGTACTCGTTCTCTCAATGTGACTCCATACTCGGATGTATCGCCTCTTGCTCCGTGGCATCTAATCAAGAGCTATCCTTCCAGGCATGATGTCACTGACCACGAGCATGCTGATGACTATAAGTCCAGGATGGGACTACTGTCTCCCAGATGGTATGAGGATCTGGGAAACCTGTATGGAGAACTTCGAGATCGAAGAGTTGTTACTCTGAAGGGATATCTGGATTTTTGGAGAGATCGTCGTGATGAGTTGTATCGGCGTGCCTTACTAGATCGAGGCTCTGACCATCGTGAAGCCTTCACCGACGGATGTACAGCTTATAGATGGGCGCCAAGAGGAGATAAGCTATCTTACCAATGGCACGGCCCCTATATCTTCCGAGGCTTTTCTGTGGAAAGTAAGGCGATGGGCATCATTGAAGATCCAAAGACGGGTACCAAAACTGTGGAGTCCATGCTCAATCTCAAGAAGTCCAATGCTGCTCCAGCGAGCTCCTGTTCGATTGATGATGGCCTACCTCCGTTCCCAGTTGGTACGAGGATCTCTATGCTCTTCACCGTGAACGGCTCAGATGAATTCTATGATGGTGTTGTCGAAAGAGTCAAGGATAATGGCCTATTGACGGTGTTATTTGATGATGGAGAGCGTTGTGACGATATCGACCCACATAAGGAAGGGGTGAAGATGATCCATTAACGATCATTAACTGATTTCTGTTGGTTCTAACCGGTGATCATTCATCGTCGCCAATTCATAATACACCATTGCTTATATTTTTATTCACGTATATATTGCATTTGAGGCGCCGGGCACTGTGCGGTACACCGCATTGTGTGCTGTGTGTTGCGTGCTGTCTACCCTGAAGCACCAGCACACAATCGGCCGTTACATAGCTCAGCAGTTGAGCTACAGAGTATATAGATAGATTTGATTTGATTTCCCACTCGAACCCCGTTGTTGAGCTTTGAACTATGCCCTCTGACAATCATGCGGAAGACGAGAACAACCAGTCCGCACAGGGGTCGTCTGATTCGACATGTGTTTGAAGGCGTAGATGCACCCCTGGTGAGTGAAAAAAATCTTTGCAGAAATTCATTCATAATGGTAGGTAGAATGTCAAATCATCCGATGGATCGGTATATAGGAGAGTCGAAATTTTCTCTACTCAGTCAATGACAAACTTAACAACTAAAGACATAACTAGCATTCCATGGTTTTAATGCAGCGCCCCTGAGCAAAATGAGCTCCACGCACGATGACCGCCACAGTGGTCGCGCCCGTGTTAGAGATAAGTTTAGTATGGGATCGGGTCGACTGCAGATGGAAGCTTTTGCGACCCCTGCCTCGGAAAAAAATACTGCTGAAGCTGATCAACTCTTCTGCGGTGAAGAGTCATGAGGAAATCCACATACACTTGCTCTGAGCATTATGCTGTGCAAAAAAACAAACAATCTAACCGTCTGCACGCATGCACACCGTTAGCTGCACACTGTGCAGTGCACAGCTACTCTCAGCAAACGCGCGGTCGGCGTGGCACTCACAAACTGGGAGCTACAGTGGTTTTCCTGATTGTGAATACTTATCTAACCTCGATACAGGACAATCTCGCATCAAGTAACGGATCAGAGACGAAAGCGTGTTTTGTGTCCACATTACAGAGCCAGCGATTCATACCGTCCACGCGCTGTGGACGTTGCACAACACTCTGTCTCTTTTTGGAAGGTCTTGATTTCACATATCCTGGTGAGTTAACTCGCCGCTGCGTTTCAATTCAAGATTGGGCAATGATCAGGTAGGGAGCCGGAGGAACGGACAGTCTTGGGAGCTGCCAGGAACGGGGGTTGCCTCAGTTTAGGATTTGCTTGGGAGGCTTTCTCAGGCTAATGCTAGAAGCTTGAGGAAGATGACTTGTGAAGTCTAAAGTAGGTTTCTTCTTTTAAGCATCAATGCGTTCAGCAATATTATTCTGTTGCGCGGTGATCGCACTATCCCTCTCCGGTTGTACTGACCGTGCAGTCATCGAGCAAGCCTCCTTACAAGACCAATCGTTTCTCGCACCGACTCGCAAGCCCATTGATGCCTCCATAAGTGAGCTCAATAGCAACTCGTCTTCATCCGGTGATGCTGCTGTGTGTGGTCGGGGTCCGAGCGGGGTGTACTACTTCGAGTATGAAGGCGTCATTGGTAGCGTGACTGTGAAGTCAAAGTCATTCTCGGTTAGTATACCTTCGGGTGATGTTCTCAGTGATATCGGCTACTACATGTACGACTGCACTGTATTCGTACCCGACTATAGTAATTACCAAGTAGTTGCTGCAGCGAACAGGCGCGGTACAACTACTGCTGAGTTGAATAAGGATCTCTCGATTACATACTCAGTGCGGGATGATACTTTCTCAGTGATCTACCCACCGACTACTTCTCTCAAGCTCACTAAGGGTCAGTGATAATTGAGGAAGCCATCTTCGATGAGGAAAGGTTTACTTACCATCTCGATCATGAATATTGTCTTGTGTATAATGCTCCAGTCTCTACAATTGCTATCACTTCTAGTCTTCCTGATCTTTCTACTATCTGTGGGCCAGGGTGCTACCGTAAGAGCGCGCTCTCCCACCGTAGCCTTCTAATCTGTCGACTGAATTTCGGTCGTATTGTGATTACATAGTCGAAACGATCGTTATATATAAGGGAGCTCGTGTGGTGTTCATCAGTTTTAGCGGATTACGTGGGTGTGAGTCGTACTGTGTGGTCCCATTAACTGTGACTCTGCACTTGTTAGAGAATAGTCCATTCTGGTGTCATTGTGAGATTAAGATATATATCAGAGTAGATATAGTTGGGTGACTAGCAGCAGTTGTGACAATTCAGTTTCGCTTTAGCAGACATCAGAGTGACATTGGTGTTGGTGACCATAATACTGTGGAATACTTGATTTGAGGCTAATCATATATGCCTCGATTCCCGAATGTGCCACTCATCGATCCATGTTATCATGTATTGGATTGTGTACTACTATCTTCTTTCCATTTCTAGCCGGATATCCAGGCGATACTAGCAGTCTCTCGGGAGGTTGGTTTTTCGACCTCGGTGTAATCGTACGGTCCGGTCATATGTCATTGGTGTCTTACTATGTTAAGGACTTCTAGGTGTGTATTTGAGCGATGTGCTCTGCCGTCCTGATCAATTTCAGCCCCCTTATCTCGAGCAAAATGGCGTGTTTAGTTTGAGTGAGTTGATGCATCCGGAGGCTGAGCAATGTCCCTACTAATCGAGATCAATTAACTGGTCAGCTGATCTGTGGGTAGAGATCTGAAGCTCACACGATTGAGAACTGTCTCCGACGGCTCTGCTGAGAAATGAAGTAAAGCTGCTCATGGACAAAGATGATTCAGATCAGTACACACTCCATAGGATAATGAACACTGTGAACCGCGCGAACAGTTGCATCTTTAACGTTTCTCAGTGAAGCTTCCGTACAACTCCGAGCTACGTCCCCAGTGATGATACTGTAACTGACCTCTGAGTTCCCACGCCAGCTAAGACATTGGTATAAAGCCGATGAGCAAAAGCGAGAGATTCTTGCTCTTGATTTTTATCCGAATTGGATGTCCTACTTTCAGTCCAAAAGGCCTGCTCGCTGCCTACTGAATTAGATCACGAGCTCTTTCAGCACCCTAGCTAGGCTTACGGTCGAACTTGAATATCATTATCGGATTATTATCGGACTTTCCTATATACTTGAACCCCAGGTGTAGCGTCTTCTCGAGGTGTGGCAGGTGTACATAGCGTATGCGTGTATTCCTGTTACAAGCTTACCATCATTCGACCCGAGCCGCTGGGTATGAGCCGGAAATTGAGATTGTGTCGAGAAAGACCTGCCTATGATAGGCAGCCTATCCGAGCTAAATCGAACCTCTGCTGTTATATTTGTCTCTGTGTTCAGATAGCTGGCGCGCAACACAAAGCTTGTCTTCTCTCAGTTCAGCTATACAGCGCTAACCCTACTAAGACAAGGAGTCTTGTCCAGTCTATTCTATAATCATGAAGTTCATCGCCGTCGTTGCCAGTGCCGTCGTTGCTGTTTCCCTCACCGGATGCAGTGATGATGATAGCACCACTACTTCTGCCCCTGCTACTACAGTGGCTCCTACCACCGGTTTCCTCCAGTCTACTACTAGTGCCCCAACTGGTTCTGTCACCTGTCAGGCGCCCAGTGGCAAGTATTGCGGTAGCTACATGGGTGAGCCCGCTGAAGTCACCATCGACAACGACAACTTCTCGATGAACCTCGCTGGTCAGATGTCCTGTGACGACGTCCCCTTCACTATGTCCTCTGACTGCTCCGAGCTTGTCCTCGACTCGACTAATCCCTCATACGAGGCTATGGCCAAGTCTGCTGAGATGCCAGCCCCATTGTTAGCTCAGATGATGTTGTGCGATTACAACTCTACTTCTGACGTCTTTACTCTTGACGTTACTCAGATTTGTGGTCACAGCCTGGACATGACTCCTGCTCAGTGCTCCAACTAAAAGGTCAATCGGCTGTGGTCGATCCTTCTGCATCAGCAGTTGTTCTTCTGTTCTTCGTTCCTTCTGTTATCATTCCCAGTTAGCGTGTTCATCGCGCTTTGCAGTCACACCATTGTATATTCTATATTGACAGTTAATTTATTAACTTGCCGAGTGCAGTGCGAAGGGAGTGGTGTTTGTGGATGTACTGATTATCAGCTAGCTCTAAGGAAAGTAGGTTGTCACCTGTGCACAGTTGTGCCACAGGATGCTTTTGATCGCCGAGGTGTGATAGTGAGGTTGGTAAGGAGTAATCAGCTACATGTCACTGGCAATAAATCTCGATTTAACGTGATTAGAGTCTCTAATCACGCTAGATCGATTCACCAAAATATTCTCTCAATATAAACAAGAGTTAGACACAACATCTCAACAGTTCTGCAGTGTCAACAGTGTAGGTGCGTTGATCCAATTCGTCTTAATCGCTATAACGAGCGATGCGCAGTATGTGTCTCTGTCTAAGAAATCGTTCAGCTAAGCTTATGATGAAGATAGTCTACGTCGGCTGAGCAATCCCTTAGCTGAGCTTATGATGAAGATAGTCTACGTCGGCTAAGTAATCCCTTAGCTAAGCTTATGATGGAGATAGTCTACGTCGGCTAAGTAATCCCTTAGCTAAGCTTATGATGGAGATAGTCTACGTCGGCTAAGTAATCCCTTAGCTAAGCTTATGATGGAGATAGTCTACGTCGGCTAAGAAATCCCTTAGCTGAGCTCATGATGAAGATAGTCTACGTCGGCTAAGTACAATCTGGCCTTGTAAGGCATTCTCCTGCAATTATATTCAGTGTAGTTTTATCTCACTGGGTAAATCACTAAAGCGCTGCTGCATGACACGATCCGTAGACAGACGCTGTGCTCGTCACAGGTTTCGAGTGGCCGTGAGTTACGGTCCGTAACCACACAAGAGACAAGTACATCACAAAGCTTGTCCCGGGCTAAGCTACCTCCCTAGCAGAAAAAAGTCTACTTTTCTCCCTAGTTTCTATCTCACGCGACATGAAGTTCATCACTGTCATTGCTAGTGCGGTCATTGCCGTCTCCCTCACCGGATGCAGCGATGATGATGGCACCACTACTGCCGCTCCTGCTGCGACTACCATCGCCCCTCAGGCGACCACCAAGTTCATGGAGCCCAACACCCCGTCTGAGAGTGCTACCACTACCTCCTCTAACAATGATCAACAGACCACCAAGTCGCCTTCCCAGACGACTACTGGTAGCTCTGGTTCCAACTGCAAGAAGCCGGAGGGTGAGTACTGTGGCTCTGCTATGGGCATGCCTGCTAGTGTCGAGCTCCACGATGACTCGTTCGATCTCGACGTTGCTGGTATGATCAACGCCGAAAACATCGGTTACACTATGGAGTCTGACTGCACTACTGTCGAGCCCGACTGGAACAATTCTGATCTCATCAAGCTAGCCGAATCTTTGGGCATGAACACGCAGCAGTTGTCGGAGTTTATGAAGTGCAGCTATAACGCTAACACCAACGTCTTCCAGGTTGATATGGCTGGTGTGCTCAATCTCAGCTTGTCCCCTGATCAGTGCAAGAACTAAGTAGCAGTCTGATAACTCTTCCATTTTCGTTTTTCTCGCTGCCTGTTGTGCAGTGTCGTTTCTCGAGCTGACGGTAAGCCAGAACGTTCTCTTGATGAACTGATATTCTGCTTGCCCTTTTCCTACGAGTATCTTGCACCGTTGAGTTTTGTTCTAGTTTTACATCCTCACTATTATAGTCTCAATGGGGTGTGGATGTGATACTATACACAACACACTAACACACATTGATATGAAACTAATACACTAATAACGCATCGATCGAATGTGTTAATGTACTGCAACACTCAATAGCGATGATCCGATGGTGGCGGTGTTGGTGACTTGTTCTGCGTTCGATATGAGAATGATAATAATAATGCATACTGAATTGAGAAGCAGATCGAAATGTTGAAAAAATTAAGAAAATATGAGGCGTCATTTGTATGACTGCAATGGTATCGAGTACTGTATAATAATGATGATCGCTCCTCCTGGAAAAAGAGCCATGATACCGAGTGAAAGACACTTACCACCAACACTGGTAAGAGCAGTTTTCCCAGATACACCTTAAACCCGCACTTGAGCTTCGAAATCATAACGTTTCACGAGCACCACCGCTTCGCTGGTTTGCTCAATAACTCTTTCGAGTTCGCCCGCGAGGATTTATCTGGCAATTCGCCGCCGTGCGTTGCCATGCTTCCACCTCCCACGCCATCTCCGATTCCAGAGCTAGACTATCCCAACACTCGCCTGTTTCATAACTGACCGAATAGACTCTGACACTTCAGTAACGTCTCAGCTTACTCAAACTCCTGCGAGTCCTGTAGTTTCTCAGCTCTCCAATCACAAGCAGGCCATTCGTCCTCTCCCATCGCATAGAAGTACTCACTAGCCATCGCGTCCTGTAGCGTGGCTCGATCTGCTGGGTCCCATCGCAGTATGCTACGTAGTAGACTGTAACCAGCAGGACAGCTAGACTCATACAACCTGTAAACCACCACCACAAGTCAATTACCCCGCGAATGCTGTCCCAGCTACTCTCGTAATCCCGAATCGGGCTCATCCGCTGAGGGTTCCGGAAGGTCCGCAAAGTACTGGCTTTCAAGCACCCGGCGATAGGCTACGTTCCTGAACAGAACAACATGCCAAAGTCGTCCCCCGTCGACCGCACCTGCAAACTGCCTTGAGCTCTCTATCAGTGGGTCTGCCTATGATAGAGGCTATACGGCGCAGTATCCACCCATCTTGATCGTGAAGATTGTCTACATTACTCCCTGATATACATCAATTTCTGATATTCGATATGAGCCCATCTACCCTCGATATAGTCGATACCACCGTAGTCTTCCGCAAAAAGGCCGCTGGTCCAAGGCCCCGATACGAGCCGTGCTATGACGTCAGCAGCTAGACTCCACAAATCAGCTTCAGCCAAACTATAGTACTTCGACCAGCACAGGACCTCCGGTGCCAAACACACCGGAGTCCCCACATGCTGTGTGTACCTATCCCAGCATATCCCCTCGACGGGACAGTGCCACCAATACCCGCCATAGTCCGATGCCCTGTGGAGTCTCTCAGGCGCTGTGTCCCGCCGTCTCCCGTTGGGGGTCCGGACTTTGCTTTTCTGACGTACGTATGGCCGAGCCAACCCGAAGTCGCATAACTTGACCATAGGCCTATCACGAGAGTCATAGATCCCTACATGTACTTTAGTTCTGCTTACACTCGTAGCCGTTTCACTGAGCTTGCTCTCTCTATCGTTCCAGCAGCTCCTATGGGTAGAAGTATATTGGCACATTTCACATCACGATGGCCCACTCCACAGTCGTGGAGGAACTGTAAGGCGCAGAGGAGCTGAGCTATCCATCGGACCGCGCAGTGGTTGAAGGCACTCAGGAGGGAGGGGCTCCCGCTGATCGAGGAGGACAGACATGCACCCACCTGTGATGTGGTATCCTATCAGTTATCAAAAGCGAGATGCTCGATGAGATGATAAAATAGCACTAGACCGATGAACTCCGCTGCTGCAACCGCATTTCAACGTAATCGAGGCAACACAGTAAGAGGAATTCAGAAAAGTCCCCATTCCTAAGTACTACATCGTCCCATAATCGCCATTGCCACTGGGAGAGGAGGCTGCTGTTGCTGCAGAGTGAGGGGAGTAGCATTCATTGTAGACGTAGTAGGTGTACGACTCCAGAGACTCCCCCATCATCTCCGAGACGAGGCACAATGTACGGTCGCCGGGACCACATCGTACCACCTGACGAAGAACTCATGGAGTGGTATGGCAGTAGAAGACCTTCCCACCTCAAAAGGTGATACAATAAGGTCACACTGAGGCAAGAGGCGGAGAACTCTCAGCTCCCTCAGAGTGGACCAGTCAGGGTCGCTTGTACTCGGCGGAATGACGTGAGAGGTATTTGAGAATATCTTCAGGGCCACTGGCGAGCCATCCGAAGACCGTCTGGCTGCTACCACACAACCATACGATCCCTGAGGACTTCCAATAGGAGTATATAGCAGCTACAGCACCAGTACCTGGCCTAGAGCTCCTTCGTAGTAGAACCCTCGAGGCATGCATGTAGGTTTGCTACTATAGGTGCCGACACAGTCCTCAACCATAAACCTGCCATTCAACTTCTCTCAGAGTAATATGCTTACAATACCTCGATCTAGGAGGGCTGCTCGCCCCAAGGTCACTGGCTCCTCTATAGGAGCGTCGACTTCGATGCTGACCAGGCTTTCTGGGCGAGGAACGGCGTGGGGATGCACGAAGGCCGACCTTGTGGATCGGAGGAGTGACTCTCTCATGCCTGTCTGGACTGTCCGCCTCGAGATCGTCTGAGTCGAAGCAAACGGAAGGCGACGGAGCGCTATGCTGAGACCGTCGATGCTTGGTTGCTGATGCTGCCATTGTGAAATCTTTGAAACTGGTGCCATTGAAGTGATGCCCCCACACTCCTGATGCCAACCACCACAACGTTGATGCCGTACATATTCATAACGTTGTTGAGTGGCTTCGAATAATTCCATTACGTCTTGTATCAACTACTCAACTTCCTAAGCCTCGTAGAATAGACTCTATGTGCCAACGGCAATGTTGACGAAGAACAAGGGACCTACTTCAAAAGTCTTCTTTGAGCGAGCATCTTCAACTTTTCAAGGATGAAACGGCTCGCAACGCAACGGGTGAGCGCCTCCTACGAGATTAAAGGGCGGATAAATACAACTTGCGCTTCGCTCCGCCATTATCGGCGTCACACGAAAGCTTCCTCTAGGGTGAGGTCACTCTAGGAGCTTTAAGCATACTCCTTGAGCAGTTGCCAATTTTACTCTCATCATGACCCTCAGTTTTGACGAAGCCCTTGAAGTCGCCAACAATAGGCCGAACGAGGGATCGTGGCAGTCGCCGCTAGCCATGCCTCGTCAGCGACCCCCGAGCGTCTCCTCTCTGGACGGCATGTGCTTAGAGGTCGTCGAAGATGGTCAACTCAACCTTGATCTGTCTACGCCTTTCATGGCTGATATGTTTCTTAAAACGTCGAGCTTACCCGATGCCATGACTGCCGAAGAACGCAGGAAAGTGGCCGCCGATTTGGCTCCAACGGCCACGTTCCAAATGATCAAACAGATTCCTCGTGAACTCCTCGAGCACGATGGAGAGGAAGGTCAAGCTTTACGACAGCAGTTACTACGCGGAGCGACTGTCGCTATGTTCTGCGCTGGTTACAAGGGTAAGAAATTCATTTACCACAGAGCAGCTGAACTTGGAGTGAAAGTTGTTGTCATCGACGACGAGGACTCGTGGGCCCAGGAGATGGTCGATGAGCAGATCATCGCAAAGTTCATTCCTATCGACTTCGCCGCTGATAATGAAGTCCTTTTCCATCAAGCTTTGGACGCTATCAAATCGTTGAAGGACGACCCCCTCGTGGGCCCCGTCGACGGCGTCTGCACCTTCATCGAGCTCGCCGTGCCCATGGCTGCTAGGCTGGCCGAGGCTTTAGGCCTCCCTGGTCCTTCAGTCGAATACGTTGATATTGCTCGTGATAAGCACAAGACACGCGCAATAATGACCGCTAAGGGACTACCGTCTATCAAGAACTTCCTCATTACCGATCCCAGCCAGCTGGACCAAGCTGCTGAGCATGTCGGGTTCCCTGCTGTACTCAAACCCATTGCCGGAGCCGCCTCTCTTGGTGTTCAGAAGGTTGCGGACATGGACGATCTCAAACGTACCTATGCTGATCTCGTTCACCTCATGGCTGGTCTCAGGGTTAAGGCCGGCGCACTGGAACGAGTTACCAGGGTTCGTACAGATTCGACCATCTCTGACGTGATCGATGGTGACGGTATCAATGCTGAACGCGTCATTGCTCTTGACATGATGCTCGAGGAATTCCTGGACGGCGATGAGGTTGATGTGGACTGTTTGTTCAGCGATGGCGTGTGCAGATTTTGCTATGTCATCGACAATGGTCCGACTGTTGAGCCTTATTTTGCTGAGACCTGGGCGGCTCTACCTTCTCTCCTCCCTGAGGACAAGGTGGAAGGGTTGAAGAAAATGGCTCAGGATGCTGTCACTGCTATTGGATTCAAGAACGGGGTTTTCCATGTTGAAGGGAAGTTCACCAGTCGAGGGCCTCGTTTGATTGAAGTCAATGCCAGAATGGGTGGTGGCCCCACTAGACTCATCCACAAGCACGTCAGCGGCGTCGACCTAGTCGTTGAACAGCTCCTCATGACGGTTGGCATCCCCTCGAGACCGCCAATAGAGCCCACTGGTATGTGCATTGCATATGCTTTTGTTGGAGCTCCCAAATCTGGGGTTGTAGGCAACATCGAGTTTTTGGACAAGTTCCGTGATATACCTGCTGTCGTCCAGTTGAGTGCTCTCGTCCACGATGGAGAAACTCTCGTGGGACCAGAGGAAGGGATGCCTAGCTGGATCGCTGAAGTTGTCGTATCTCTTAGAGACGGGCACAAGGCTAAGGATTTGATTCAGAGCTTGAGCTCGGAAATAGCTGCGGAATGCTTGTCTCATATGTAAGTTTCTACCAAGTTGACGAGCCAAGGTGGCTACCAAATTTTTTTTCATAGTCAGCGGGGTTTGAATTCTTGTAATTTGAATCCTCGCCTATGAAATAGCTATCTCTATCTATCTCGTCTTAAGGACGACCCATCCCTTTCCACTCCGTTTGCTAATCTTGCGTTGATAGTTACCTCCGAGCCCTATCTCATCAATCAAACATTGATCATGCTATTCGTTACCAGGTGGGATTATTCCCGATATTTCCACAGTACACCATTTTGAGGCATGAGATTAAACGTCGCCTTTAGAAAACGGCAGCAGCCAATCCGCTCGAGTTCTGCCGTGGCATATCTGCCCCAGGCGGGATCGGCCTCACCAACAGCGGCAGCAGCCAAACCGCCAGAGTTCTGCCGTGGCATATCTGCCCCAGGCGGGATCGGCCTCACTAACAGCGGCAGCAGCCAAACCACCAGAGTTCTGCCGTGGCATATCTGCCCCAGGCGGGATCGGCCTCACTAACAGCGGCAGCAGCCAAACCGCCAGAGTTCTGCCGTGGCATATCTGCCCCAGGCGGGATCGGCCTCACTAACAGCGGCAGCAGCCAAACCGCCAGAGTTCTGCCGTGGCATATCTGCCCCAGGCGGGATCGGCCTCACTGTAGCCGAATTGATTCCCGCAATTCGTCGAAATTGAAGTTACTTTGATCGTACAGACGGAGTCGATTATTCTATCGCGAGATCCTGTGAAATCGATTGAAACAGGGCGTGTCTTTGGGGATATGGCATAGCCGCCCCACGCGATAGGACTGCAGTATGGTGCAAAAAAGACCCACCTCTTGTAATTTCGTGGCGCGTGACAGTTGATGAATAAAACAGGTACCATTTGGAAGATCTCTTTCTAACGCAGTACGAATGGTTCTGATATACGAAGTGTGCACTGAGTTATCGTCAAACGCAAAATCGGCTACATACAGAAACGCCGCACCTGGAGGTGCTCCTGCTGCACCCTCTCCAGGAAGTCCTGATCAACCTCCATGCTAAGAGACCTTCCGCTGAAGATACTTAACATAGGCCTAGCGGGAAGAGCGGAGCCATCTGATCTGAGACCCATCCAAGCAGCTGACAACAATGCAATGCGGCATCATCAATGGTGACCGAGCTGCTCCTATCCCCTGAGTTGGAACCCTGACTTCTCATAGCTTCTGGTACAGTTGGTGAGGGAAGTGGTGACGGAATAGACCTTGGGTGTTGTTGATGTTATTTGGAACTAACAGATGATGCACTTGTTTCCGGTGTTAACGACGCAACCACATGCTCATGCGTGCTCAGCAGTACTTGGGACCCCTGCCCCCCCATCTTGGCCATCTTGCGCCGGAAGACGTAGCTCGCGCGCGGCCAGTAATCGATTACACAACATTGCATAATTGCCACAGACATTTTCGAGTTGGAACGGTATTGCTGCGATCACTTGGGCGAGAAGCCGTGGTGTAATTGGAGCCTGGCTCTATCGAGAGAGTCATGCGTCCTTCCGACTCTCGCGCGAATCGTGAGCATTCATGTTGAGTTGTGGGCGCCAAATCTGAAATAGAGATACACGATCATCAATGACCTGGGAGCGATGGATGCTACTTTGAATGGTTAGTTACGGTAGAGCTTAGACATTTAATGAAGGTGATCATACTAATCTCTAGTGTTACCTTGGTATCATCGCCATCGTTTGGGTTATAATGAGCTCTCATTCCATTGGGGAGTCCCGAGCGGATCATGAATGCAAGTCACCCCCTACCAGCTGCAGAGCATGGATCCTGGCTCGAATGTGTGGAATAGGAGTAGTCTTATTATCGAGGAACTATGGGCTTCGCTTCTGTGTGGTTCTTCATACGGGAACCTACAGCAATGGAATGATGGCGCCTCCACTCTTTGACTATCCTCTGATGAGTGTATTGTAACGGAGGAGAAAAATCGAATCCGTGTCTACAGCTTTTCCATGTTAATTTGATCTTTTGCCCGATTTTCTTGTATTTTACCAAATTCTTTTGAAAAAAAAACCGCATTCACCACGAGCAATCGCAGCGTGGTTACACGTCCTCTATGTTGCGCCCAATGCAATGAGTACTACGCATGTAAGCGTACAGTTATGACTCGTACTGTACTGAGATGAAACTAGTGTGAATATGTATTGTCGGAGAGAACTGAGAAGGAGCGTCAGAGGCAATCGAGTTCACACAAGACGGGGAGTAATCTCGTGATTCTGAGGTATTCGTGAATTGCGGCTTGCGTTGAGAAAATAGGATCGGATCGGTTACTGGTCTGTGTCTTCGTTCCGAAAATATCTATTTTTCATTAAAATTTTGGGTAATTCATTGAAATCAGTCGGTAAAAAGTTAGGAAGAACATTTTTTTTTAAGAAATGGGGAGAGTGTTGGTAATTCAGGCAAAATATTGACCTGTAAATAATGTAGTTTGGATTCGGACATTCATCACGGAGGTTACTGCTCCGGTTGGGTCCTTGCTTCACTACACTCGATAGGGTACAATCGGTCCCTCATTAGGTGGCCGCTGTCGGCATTCGGAAGCTGATCAATTCGGTCAAAGGGGTTCCGAGTTGATGATGGATTTGTATCGGACACTATCACTGCAGTTGGTAGGTTGATGTTAGTATGAGCACTACCCCACCAAAGGCAGGCCCTGAGACTTGCTGGCTTCTACAATATCCTAGACCACGGCTCACGGAAGAGGTCGCCGAGAGATTCCTCAGATCACCAACCGATCTGAATGATGCCACTATGATCAAACAAATACGGAAAGTGTCCGGAGATAAAGTCGTCTGCGAGACGACAGAAGGGTGAGGTTTATCATCATCATCATCATCGCTGTCGTTGCTACTACCTCGTACCACCATCCATGGTCTTGCAGGCTCGTCTCCTACCCTCTGAAGAAGCTACTGTCGCCACCACTTTACCACAAGGTGAAAGACATCATACCCAAGAACGGCAGCAAGAGTGGTTCATGACGTGGTGACTATCGCGACATTTCTGTCCGTTGCTGGTAGATGGGTTTCAACATTCGCTCTGTGATTCACTATCTGTTTCATGCGTTGTTGTTTTTTGTTCACATGTGTAATAGCTGAGTTTCCATACATTAGAGATAGCTTACCCTCGAGATTCTTATAAAGAGAAACTTCCATTGAAACCATATAGACCTGCCTTGCAAGCTCTCACAGAGACCACATCGAGCAAAGCACTAGGACTTTCTAATTGGTATATGTACTCGTTGGCTACGTAGCGTTACTAGGTGATCGTGAAGGGCAGTTTCAAGTTGTTATCATCATTGACAGCGTAATGGGAGGGACATGCAAGACCACTAGTTTTCTCTCATGCAACTCGAGGCCAACATAGAGATGATCAGTGTGAAGACAGTCAGTGAATGATACATGTTACATGCTCGTCATCTCACAACTGCATCACGAATCCGATGCCTGGCCGGGCATTTCTGATACCGCGACCACTCCCCCGCCACACTTTCTTGGTCCCATGCATCTGTCAAACGGACAGGTATGGAGCTGACGGCTTCGAAAGCCATGCGCCGCATGACACTTTGGGCCTTGGCATCAGCGGGGTAGAGGACAATACCTGTGCTCAATAGCCCGGCCCACGCACTAAAGCCACTATTCGACAGAACCACCAAATCTGCCGCGACCAATGTGAGGAAGGACCGCGCTGTGTCCGCGTCGAGATAGACACTGACTCGCCACCTGCCAGTAAAGTCGCGACCGAGATCAGCGACTTGCTTCCGTAGAGAGACCTCGAAGTCCACTGATTGGCCTAAGTGGTTGCAAAGCTTCTTCTCTCGACTACACTCGTGATCGCCTTCTCGCCAGCTCTCACTAACAACAACGACCTGAGCTGAGCTATCAGGCGCAAGTTGGGTGAGTAGATGCGCAACGGTTTTCGCGAAGAAGTGGTTGCGAGTCATACGGTGTTGCTGACGATCGAGTAGATCCCCGCGTCTTATGTGGACAGCAATGAGAATGTCATCAGTGCCTCCCACGAACAACGTGCTGCCTTTGCCTGCGCTTATAATACGGGATCGTAGCCATTCTCGCACCACCAGCTCTTCACTCGACGACGGAGTTCCCCCAGTGTTCTTGTCGAACCAGGGACAGATCACAACGAGGCCATGACCCGTGCCCAAGAAGGAAGCCACCTGATCCAGCGTGTTGCCAGCGATCCCCTTCTCGCCCTGCACCCTCTTGCCAGCACTTCTGCGTGGACAAGAGCCGTCTTTCGAGGGCGAATACTTCACAGCCTTCTTCAACTCAATGGCGGTATCATCTGTTATGTTGCCGCCCCACAGTCGGGCCAACAGCGGCGCAGCTGTAAGCATATCAGTATGCTCGCCACTGCCGCCTTCAGCCCTCCACAGTGCACCAAGGAAACGACCCCTCCCACGGAGACCCGCTACCATGGTCAGCATCTGCAACTCCAGCTTGTGTCCAAGACCATGAGCGAAGCCCAGATCAACAACATAGGGTCGGCCTACACCCGCTTCGAACGAAGAGAGATCAGACCCTTGTGAGGCAAGGTGAATCGAGGTCGAGTTGTAACACTCCCACGTGGTGGATGCTAGTGACAGTTGATGACCATCTTGCGGTCCCGAAATGAACAGGTCTTCGCGCGACTCGGTATAGTAGAGATAGAGATAGCCTATGACCAGTGAGCCCAAGTAGGCCAACAGATACCAGCGTCGTCTAGAGTACGTGTCTTTGGCAAGGCTCATCGTCGTACCATAGCGATAGCCAAACTAACGAAATCACGCGTAGGTAAGCGAACACTTCGTTGGGTGACTGCTGTCCAGTTCACTCACGCATAGGATGTTAAGTCACATTAGAGATCACCACTCGCACCGAACACTCCGATCTCCGCATTCTATGTGACTTCCCAACACAAGACCATCACCATGATCATCACGAAAAACTCTTCTCTCGCTTTAGTAACTGCTACATGAGCCCAACAAAGAGGCACTCAAACTGTCTGCTTAGAGCCGTAGAGACCACTCCTGCAGTCATCGAGGCCATCACGATCATGTACATAGTGCTTCCGCTTATTGCATGTTCGTTCGAAGTCTCGAACCTGACAAAAACCCTCTACTGTTGGCCTACTCCGCCGCAGCATACCTCCTTCACACACTGACTAATATCCCCCATATGATTCTCTATGCACCGCCGTAGCGGCATCATGGTACACACAGTAACATTACGAGTGACCTTAGGCCTGTTAGCAGCCATCATCTTCAACCAGCGTTAACACAGCTTCTCGAGCTGCGGTAGCAACTAGATGCAACCGGCTTACCACTCCTCGACCATTTCATAACCCAATGCCCCAGCGTGATAAAGGAGAAGCTAGAATCATACTCAGTGATAGAGATACGGATAAGACAAGCCGTGGCTATCATGCAGCCTAATCCAGGAAGAAGAAAGCCTACCAACCTCAGTCGGCCATGCTCAGGTAATATGTGCATAGGTCCCGCTCAACACCTCAGTGTTCTACTTCATTACTAGTGACTTCAGTCACCTACCCAGTCAGAGTAGTCACTCTCAGTTCTATGGCGTCTCCAATGGCTCTCACAGCCGAAAGTTGCATACATTACTACCTATCATATAATTGACGCCAGACTATACGACTCAGCGAGGCGTATACAGCGCTATCGTAATACCGTGAATGCAACGAACGGTTAACTCCCATACAAGCAGTGAAGCTCTCGAGGCCTTCGGAGAGCCTACTATCGTACAGGTGCAGTCACGATGGGAAGCAGGAGTAACCACTCAGTACATGGCCATGATTAGGCAATTTCCAACTCAACTCCCCACGTGATGGAAAGGAACAGTACTCCAAGACTCCTGTTGGCTTGTAATATTAACGACATAGCACCTCCTAAACTAGGCACCAACCAACAGCAGTAGCTGACCTTTCGTCTAGCGACGTGGCGGACGGTCTCCCCTCGGCTGAGCAGGCTTGGCCCAGTCGAGCTTAAGGATAAGGTTATCGTAACTGAGTCACAATTCCTGGTAAATCAAAGTAGCGCAACAGAGGTCCTCTACCCGTGTCCGTTGAGCTTTTCCAAAGCCTTCTCAGCATCCTTCTTGTTGTAGTACGTGACGAAAGCGAAGCCCTTGGAGAGCCCAGTCTCGGGGTTGCGGGCTGGCAAAAGCCTTCTAGTAGTAGGATGAGCATGCGAGCCCCAACTTACCAAGATAGATCCTCTGCACACGGCCAGCGGTAGAGAAGAGCTGCTGAAGGTCACCATCACCAACATCTTCAGAAAGGTTAGAGACACTATAAAACGCATGAAGGCCTCGAATGGTGAAGTGTAGTCCTACCGCAAAGTGTGCTCATCTCTGTCCTTCTGTTGGTCGAATGGTCTAGCACCACCACCAAGACCACGCTGGTTGGGTGGCACATAGCGGCCAGTCGTGTGAGTACGGAGCTACAGTGGTCACTGCTATAGTACGCATCGAATGGTACTACCGGAATCGCCTCCTTCTCAGCTTCGCCGTCGGCCTCTCCTTCACTCTCACCACGGAACTTAGTCCATACGCTAACCTTCTTCTTGTTGAGACCGAGGACCTACGACCGACCATAGGCCAACTTGGTTCCTTCCCCTACTACTACTTGGTCCACACTCGCCGTCCAGAATTTCTCCTGATCGGCACCAGTCTCATCCTCAGCAGCAGCGCTGGCACCAGTAAGCTTGCTGGGCTCCAGATTGATCTCATCTTCGGTACGATTCGCAAAGGTATTATTTTTATTCATCTCCACAGCCTTTCCAAAGGGAGTCCAATGTCTCCGTCTGATAGTATCATCTCTGCCCTCCCTACACCACCCCATCACCACTACTACCTTTCTGACTCAGCCTTGCTGCAAGTCACTCGTACAGTGGTGACCTTGACGACCCTCGTCACCTTATATACAGCACCGTCCCGCTCTTGGTACTCGGTTATGGTCTTGAGACCAGTCTCGGGATCTAAAGGCAAGCGGGATATCCTAGGTCCGTCTTGGTATGATACAAACTAGGTACGGATGCTTACCAATATCCGTCTCGGTGGTGGATGGCACCTCCCGGTTGCTTGGTGATACGGGATCCTCATCAGCCCATCGCCCGGTTGTCATTACTGAAGCCATACCGCCACTGATGATTGATGTGTTGCTACTTCACAGTAGTCAAATGATTATCGCGCTCGCCATTCTAATCGATAGAGCTGAGCGGTTTCATCCATGAACATCAACAATCTTCGCATGTTCCCCCCCCCCCCCGGCGTCGGGTCGTGGGCTAGAGGACGACGCTATACACGTGACGTCCTGGCCAAAGTGGTGGGGTCAGCCTTAACGTAACGGGAGGTACCACACCACATCGTCAGGGAGGGGGGAGATCGGAAAATAAATCTACAACTAAGCCGAGAGTGCGATGTAACCTTACGGCTCGAACGATCTTCGAGGCACTACCCGTAGCGCTGACCATCAGTTCGACACAACGTATTTTTCCTTGATGTAAATGGAGTTGGGTTAGAGAGTGTACGAATGTGGTAGACACTCCCAGGCAAATCCCAGGATCATGCAAGGCGGTGTGGCTCTGATAACACTGCAGAAGGCAGATGTGTTCTAAATTGATTTCTCCGAACAGAACGAGGCCGACAAGCTTGTTGGGGACTGAGACGAACCGGCATCGGTTGTCATCTAGGATATCGCAAAATCCAGTATGAAATTAGCTCTTCCGTATACTCAACAACTGGATCATCATGGACACCCAATGATACATGCTAGTCATGAAGAAGGAGACAGCTCCTACACAGGGGCTGTATTACGGGCCGTAATTTACGGCGTATCACTATTTCGCTGCTATTGTCATTCCTTGGGTACACGCGCGCTGACGGAAACCTTTAAGCTCTTTGCCGGCAAGTCGTGATTCGGTTCGCTGATGCCGCTCGATGAAGCAATCTTTGCTCCAAGAATAGCCGAGCTCGAGCACACTATCATGAGAGATCCGACTACACTGAGCAAACTGATCTCATCAGGATTGGCTAAAGCTTGCCATAGAAATGTGAAGGCGACATTGGCCTGGAACAGAATGGCACAGTTCTGAGGTTTCTCAAGTTGAAGGGATCTATTGTAAAAGAACTGCGAAAGGGTACCGAAAATTCCCGTACCGATCATAAAAATGCTGCAGCTGTAACCAGTGCTAGCAACGGAGGGAAGTGTGAGAGCATCCAAGCCGAGAGCGAGGCTTGCAGCACTCTCAAATGTTCCGCAGACACCAAAGGAGAAGACCAGGCAAACGTAATGGACTGAAGAACCGATGAAGTAAACGATAATAGGAACCATACCAGAGGTGGCCGCTCCTGCAATTGTGACAATGAGGGCACTCAGATCCGTCTGGGATTCTTCAACAGTTATCGAGGAGTCGAAAACGAAACTCGGGCGAACAACAAATACAGACCCGGTGAGGCCGACAAAAAGAGCAACGACTTCAACGAAGGATACCCTCTGTTTGAGAATGAGAGCAGAATACACCGCAGTGAACACGGGATTGGTGAAGAAGATCGCGTTGGCGTTTGCCATCGGCATGCGAGCTACCGCGTAGAGCAGCAATAGGTTTGCTAGAGCGCCCACGAGACCTCTTATAAAGCAAATGAGGCGGCACCCTGGGGGACCGATGGGGTTCACTTGTACAAGTAGGGCGAAGAAGGCGGCGATAATTGTCTGAATCACCGATCGCACCAGTGTGATCTCTGAGCCAGAGAACTCTTCGGAGGCCATGTAGGCACAGAGCTGCATGAGTGAAAAGAAGAACACTCCAATCATGCAGAGGAAACCTCCTAAAATTGGCGAAGCTGACGGTATTATTCCCTTGAGATCGGCTTGAACAGGATCCTCAGGGTCGGTATCGGACAGTGTTGCTGTAGACTCGGCTGTAGACTCCTCCGACGAGATAACATCTAGTTTGGTAACAGACATGGTAGTAACGCAAGGGATGAGCGTCAGCAGGGAGCTAACCTGATATATGAGCGATAAATAGTGAGATGCACAGATGTATAGACCCCTTCGAATATGACAACTCGGATCAGATCTTCAAGAGGGAACACGCAAAGTCACTTACGATTATCATGGTGTACTAAGTCTTCGAGATTCTCGGGTGGTCGCGCTGTGTTACAATCCCAGCTAGTGTCTCCGAGACCCTGAGACACCGAGACTCCGAGACATGCGACTTCGCGAGACACTGTCTCGCGAAGTATGCATCCTTGATGGTGGTCTCCAAGTTGCAAAACCGATAGTACCGCGTTGCAGCATCCGTAGTTTCCCCACACATGCGAGGAAGCCTAGCCTATTACCCATAACGCAAATAGTGGTGTTGATACTGAGACTAGTACACCGACACCTCGCTTGATCTCCCCGAGTTGCTTCCGAATCAACTCCGCGATGATTTTCTCAGAGCGATTTACAGATCTTTAAGGACCTTCACTAAGAGTAGCACGGTGATTCTGTAAGATCGAACATGATAAAGCTGTAAGGTGAGCTCAATCTTAGTGGTACAAACGACTTGAACACATCCCGTGGATGCGTGGCCGGTTAAGTCATCGTGAATGTCCTAGGGAGATCTTCACTTCTGGTCCGTAACACTGCTGGAATGAAAGTAGTGTCCTTCCTCATGCACCTGGCGTACTCAACTCTCCGGTGGGGCGGCTATGCCACAGCTCGATGTGGTTATTCTCAGTTGCTGTGGGATACGCCTCAGAGTTTCTTCTCACCGCATAGGCGTGATGGGACCCACCGGTGTTGGCATATCTGCCCTTGAAATGAATCGGTTTTATTGGTACTATCAAATTTGGTAGGGGGAGCTGATACCCACATTCCATGAGAAATTGAGCCACTTCGGCTATGCCTGCGCCATCATGCATGTGCAATCTTGGACTGGCATAGCGGCCCCACGCCGTGAAATTCAACCCATTGGAGGTGAGATAGATGTCTTTAAGTTATGATAGACCGCAGCTCAGAGTCGGGGAGTCGTACCTCAGATGCCCAATAGGTTCTGGCTAGCACGCATCCGCATGTCGCGTCCGTCTAGGCTAGTATCCAATCAACGAGTGCTCCGTATGGAATGAGAAGATGATGATGATGACGGGGGATACTGTATCCAGATACGCAGGTAGCATCGACCTCGTCACAAATTGTCCTCTCCCTCTTAGGACTGTACCTCAACCTAACACGGCGACCACCAGTAGCATTCGATTTACAGTAGCGTCATTACCAATGTTAAATTTTGAGCACGGAATTGGCAGCTACACGAACAAAATCATTCGCTGTGCGTTGTCGCGCGCAAGGCGAGCGCTGTTGACCAACTCATCATGATTTGACGTCACGCGGTTTGTGCTCCGCTGGCGAATGACCTCTATTCCAGTGAAGTATCTAATGCCCAAGCTGTAGACGCAAGAATGGCTATCATTTCTAAAGGAGGAGTTGTAAAGATCACCCAACTCCTCTGCTACGACATTGAATTTGGTTATTTTAACGTGAATTAAAACCAAGTTATTCCGCATGGTAAGCACTCATCTACCATAAGGATGGTGCGCATCGCGGAAGGAAAGGTTCTGGTTAGCGTTAGAGGAGTAAGGCTAATGTCCGGGGTGAAGGTGGTGAGTCTTGCGATTAGATGAGTACTGAGGTCGTGTTCAACGGCACAAACCGTATGCTATCAGATGATCAGTGATAATGACCTGGATGGTAGTAGATCTGCGACGAAGGCAGACCCTATGGAATGTCAGAAGGGTCGTGTTGGGGAAGAGCGGACTGGTGAAACGTGATGGGCATGATCCTCGCTGCTTGGGGTGATAGTACAGTAACTTTCGTCACGTGAATGGTTTCAAAACACAAGTAATGGATCGAGTTGTAATATCAATTTTGGCGCTTGCACTGGCCTCTCCTGGGGACATCTTGGCATGGCCTCGACCAGTCCTTCCTCCTCTCGACTGCTACATTGACAACGATAACCTGAATGGCAACCCGCCCTAGAGAGGACGATGAAGAGTCTCTAACAGAGGGAATGGTAGTGCTAATCCTATACAGTTTCCCTTGCGCCACTACTCTAGCCTGAGCTCATTTGTGATGACTTGCGACTATATAGAGGTCCATCCAGTGGATTTTTATGAGGTACTCGGTATACTCGAGTTCAAAGCACCGGTCTACGTCTTGGTGGCGTGGTCTCCCAGCGAGATGAATGGTAAGTTAGGAGCAGAGTGGGAATTCTCTGCTTGGACGTTTTCGGGCGCAAGTTTTGCCTTGAGCAGTCGGGTAGTACAGGAGTATTTTTGGCGCAAACCTCGAAACAGGTCGAGTAGAGAGCTTGTGTATGTTCAACCAGGCGAAACCGACCCACGTGCTATGCTGCTGGCCACGGGAGGTCGGAGCTTCCCGCTTCATATCGAGGCAGCTACCAAAACTATCTGATACAATAGCGACGATGGTCTTGGATTTTTAGGAGTTTTCGACATTTTATTATATGCTAGGGAGCTTGAGATCGACTACTCTGTGGGTGAGAGAATATGAGTCGGTACATAGGTCCATATCGTCCGACTTGGGAACCCTTGTTTGATCTCTTCGGCTCTTTTGATCCGGATCCAGTTGTGCAGAAGATGATAAATGAGGCTATGGAGCGTGCTCATTTTCACGGCAAGGATTGGGTATGTAGTTTGTCTGAGAAACGACCGAGGTTGATGGGCTCATCGTAGGCTTATAGACGATTGAACAAGTCGGAAAAACTCGGCTACATAAGGAATCCTCCGCCACTGCCTTGGTGCATCTACCAAGTTCCAGGGCCCAGCAGTGAATCGATCTACCAGCTGTAGTAATGTGGGATTTGGGTTGAAGGCAGTAGTATTGGCAGTAGGTATCTAAATGACTGCTTTCTGGCCGAGAGTGTAGTGGCCGAATGGGGCGTCGCTAGGAGGGATGTAGATACTGAGATAAGGCAGGACATATTACGTATGATGGAACACTCGGGCGTCGTTGTCGTTGATCTTATTGCTGGACTCAGAACTGCCAAGTCCTGAGGAGACCGGCCATACGGGAAAGTTCGGGCATGATATTAACATAAGGCAGAAGCCGAAACGGGGACATCTATTTTTCCGAGGAGAACCTAGGAACACGAAAAGGAGTATGGATTCTCAAGTCGATGATCTAAAGCTTTGCTTGTCACTTTGTTAGATGTGGTGGGTCAGATGGTCGAGTGCAACAAGTACATCATAGATTTTTCCCGTCCTATTGCTATAAGGAGTCTGATTCCCCCGACACTACCGGCGGTTCGGTGAGGAAGGGGTGCTCCTTGCTCGAGTGGGACCCTACTCTGGTTCAGGTCGGCCTTGCAGGACATCATCGACTTCTCAGTAGAATACGCCTCGGAGAGGGGCCTGGATCCGGACAGCGCGCTGTCATTCCGAATACTAGTGAAAATGGCGCAGCAACCCTGGCATGTTGACGATGAGACAGTACTGCTTTGCGGTCCTGTTCATTGTGAAGCAGAACTCCACCAGGTTAAGGAAGGAGTCCGTGTTGTTATGGAGTGGCTCGGCACACGACTCTTGGCCCGCTATTGGGACTATATAACGGTAGGAGATGGGATAGTCACTGGCTTATTGGATTATGTAGAGTATAGTCTACTATCTTTAAGTGTTATTGCTAGCTTTATTATATCTGTGTTGATGGACTTCTAGAATATGCATCCACTTTGGCAATGGTCATTTCCGTTGTCTTTTCAATTTATACCTACCAACTGTAGCTACTGGACGCTTTCGGTAACTGTAGCTGATCGACGAGTTTGAGAAGCGGCTGGTTATAGCTGCTTTCGCGGGTCCGTTACAAAGTGTGCGGGATGGTTACAAAGTCTTGTATTTGTGTCATGTCGAGCCTAGTAGGCCCCTCTGCTTGTTAGCTCTTGAATAGCTTCAGTGAAAGAGAGGTTATATTCTGCAGGTAGATGCAACTCGTGTCCGCTCCCATGCCCAGCTTCCACACTTTGAGCGGCAAGGCCTCGGTGGTGCCGTTTGCGTGTCTCCTCAGCAACTAGAGGCGCGCCAGGGTGAGACCTTGCCGTTATCCAGGCTGCCTAAGTCGACACACGAGTGTTCAGGATGTCCTTTTTATTACGACTCGAGGCATCCTCGCTCAGTCAGAGTACCGTTAGAGTGTCCGCCGTTTCAGCTGTGGGAGCGGTTCCCGAATACAGCGTTCGGATGCGAGGAGAAGACGGGTGCGGCGCGGCAAGTATGGGTGACTTTCGGGTAAGCACCCAGCGGTGGGTCGGAGGAGATAGTTGCGGTCCAGGTACCGCCTTACTGATCATCCTTCGAGAACTGAGACTTCGAGGCTTCAGGAGGAGTTGTCTTGGGCTAAGCCAGGCCTTTGCTTCATGGCCGAGACCTAATTCAGAGGCGGCTTTCGGACTGTCCATACGTGGCCTAGATTTGCCACTATTTGAGTTTTTTTCTCTCTTGAGTGATGCGTTAGCACTATCTCATTAAGGTGAGTGGATATTCTTTTGCTCAGTTGCGTCGTCGTCTATGACCATTCTCAACTCGTTGATGGTTAACCGAGATCTTGATGGATCCGTGATTGAAAATCCGTCTACCTTTCGGCTTGTCCTGATATGTACGGTTGTGTTCATCGATTTCCTTGGCGTCACACTGCCTGCCAACATTATACCTGTCATGATTGATAAGTCAACCAAAGGTCACCTCGTTGGGTGTGAGAGCATTCCCGAAGGGACAGCGGTTTCCATAGCGGCTTTCACCTATGCTATCGGTATGAGCATATCACCACCGCTCATGGGTTGGCTGTCGGATAGGCGAGGTCGTCGTCCTTTACTGTTAGCCTCGATGCTGGGTATCTCTATCTCCTATTTCTTACAAGGATCAGCGAGAAATTACTGGTGGTTCGCCTTCTTCCGGTTCCTCACTGGTTTGAGTGGAGGCGGCCGGCCGGTGGCCATGGCTTATATCACAGACACTCTGACCGACGTCAAAAGGCGCACTTCGTATTTTTCTTATATCAATATGGTCCCTGGTCTCTGCTTCGGCTTAGGGCCTGCCTTTGGTGGAGTGCTGGCCTTTTTCAGCCTCTCTGCACCATTTTATTTCGTATCATTCTGGGCATGTGTGGTGTTCGCGCTGCTCTACCTCTATCTCCCAGAGTCTCTCCATCCCTCTAGGATCCGGGCAAAAAAATTGGGATCGGACCCTGGCGAGTCGCTCCTGTCCGAATTGGTAGAAGACAGTCCCGAGATCGACTGTCATGCCTTCAGTCTATTGTACTTTGTATCAGCAATGACTATGTTCTTAGTAGTGGTTATTGGTCTCATGTCCCCACTTGTACTCAGGGACTTCTTCAATCTGTCTCCACTATCGGCAGGGTTCACGTATCTAGGTGACGGAACTCTCATCGTCCTAGGAACCTTGGCATTCATCCATCTTGTCAATGAAGTTGGTTATACGAGTAGTTTTCTCGGGGCATCCAGTCTTTTCATATACGGCTTGGGTTGTCTCATCTTACCTGAGACATTCCACGACCTCTTCTTTTTTCTGGCCATCAAATATATCTTCCTCGGTGCATCACCATCATTGACGTTCGCAGCTTTACCGGTGTTAGTGGTTGAATTCTCTCCACGACACCGCAGTGGTGAACTGATGGGGTACTTCACGCTATTCCAGGGAGCTGGTCGTTTGGTCGGAACTATCACGGCTGGCCTCATGTACGATGCTCACCCCTATGTACCATTTTTGACCGCTGGCGTCGGGTCACTCCTGGCTGGGTCCGCTTGTTCTCTGCTCTATCACCGAGTCCATCGTAACAGAGAGACGCTTAGCTCGTCAGGATTCTGAGTAAAAGCGACGATTCTTTGGAATTAGTTCGCTATTATTTTTTTGAAATGTATTCAAATAGTAATGCTTCTCATCCGGCAGCGGTCTCGTCGATTATTTGGGTTGAATGAAGCTTAAAGCGACGAGTTGCGTTGGCGAGCGAGTGGGGCATCTTACGAGCGTCTTTTCAGCTCTTACCGGCCTACGAACACAATATCTTTTCGAGACCTATTTCACTCTTGATAAGAATAGTTCTCGAGGACGGGGTATGGCATATTTTCGGGCGGCATAGCTGCCCCGCCCTGGGAGAGTGGCTGTGCGCAGGCGTGTATTGTGGCGGCAGAACCAATCTTAGGCATAGCTGCCCCGCCCTGGGAGAGTGGCTGTGCGCAGGCGTGTATTGTGGCGGCAGAACCGCTCTGTTCTGGCGATGTGGTTGCGGTTAGGCATATCTTGGGGTTGCATAGTTGCCCCGCCGGGAGTAAGTGATTGTACTCGGGCATATCCTGGAGTGGCATAGCTGCCCCGCCGGCATGAAGCGACTGTACTCAGGCATATCTTCGGGTGGCATAGCTGCCCCGTCGGGATAAAGTTATTGTATTCAGGCATATCTTGGAGCGGCATAGCCGCCCCGTCGAGAGTAAGTGCTTGTACTCGGGCATATCTTGGAGTGGCATAGCTGCCCCACCGTAAGTGCTTGATTGTAAGCGGTATCTTATAATTTCGCCACCTCTCTGTTATGATTTTTTTCTTGCTTCGAGTTGGACTTCGAAGTTCCACTTCATCATCATCATCATCATCATCATTGAAACAATCGGAGATTCGTCAAGAAACTAGGTTGATGCTCTCTCCCTATAGCGGACTGACAACGTTTTTCACTGGAAATTGTTGTTTTCCTGAGTCTCTAATCCCCGTAGACCATCAGGTGAGCTCAATGGGATTATAGTCAGCAGTTTGGCGAGCCTCGCCAGGCGAGGTACGCCTGGTTCTGCCAGTGAAGTCATCGGAGCAGTTTTTTGACGCGTTGCGAAAATTCTCTCGAAATCTCGTGGTCTAGCTCGGAGATATTACAAAATTGTGACTGGTCACAGTCGGTGCCGAAGTTTGAGAGCATACCTCACTTGCCCATATCCTTGGGTTATGCGGTTAACTTCGCCGGAGAAACTCAACTCACCAAGAGCGGAAATGACCTCGAAAAGGTTTATTGATGCCACTGCACTCGAAGTTGGATTGCGAATGTCATGGGTTTCAGTTTTGTTCATATCGTATGGCACATAGTCTCGATCGGAGCAATGTTGTCGAGCCGGCACAACTCAGTGGCATGGCGCAGTTTCGCCTGTGTTTGGTATGCTCTGTCGTTTTCATCGACTTCATCGGTTTGTCATTACCTCTCAATATTATACCAGTGTTAGTGGATGTCAAATCACCACATCATTTAGTAGGCTGTGAAACCCTGGGTATGGGCAAGGCATATTCCATAACGTCCTTTGCCCACGCCGTTGGCATGACTATATCTCCTCCGTTGATGGGGAGGATGTCCGATAGAATCGGCCGACGCCCTATGCTACTCGTCTCAATGCTTGGGATAGCAGTAGCTTACACTTGTCAGGGCCTCACCAAAGACTATTGGTGGTTCGTATTCTACCGCTGCATAACGGGTTTAGCCGGTGGAGGGCGTCCTGTTGCCATGGCCTATGTATCAGACACTGTACGAGATCCCAAGAAGCGCACTAGCATCCTCGGCACCATCAACATGATTGTGGGTTTATGCTTCGGCATAGGCCCTGCTATCGGTGGCCTCTTCTCGTCCTTTGGCTTGTCAGCATCGTTTTTCGTTGCCGCCGGAGTTGCGAGTATAACTTTTGCGTTATTATACTTTTACCTCCCTGAGACGCATCACAAGTGTAGTGCCTATGCAGTAGCGACAAGGAGTCCTGGAGGGACTCTACTCACACCTCTACTACAGGAACAAAGTCCTACCAGAGTGGACTGGATAGCCTTCATTCTACTCTACTCGACGACATGCTTCGCCGTCATCAGCACTACAGTATTCTTCATCGTAGCTCCTTTGGTTTTTCGTGACGTCTTCAGTTTAACCCCTCTGACTGCCAGTATAACATATCTCGGCGATGGAGTCACGATTATTGCTGGCACATACATCCTCGTCTATTTCTGCAACACTTTGGAGTATAGTAGTGCAGCAGTGACGACAGTGGCTATCATCATTAACTCGATTGGAGCAGGCCTCTTTATGCTCTTACTCAACTCGATTGCGATCTATCTTGTAGACAAATGGATCCTCTTCAGTACAACAATTGCGATCTTTTATTCGGGATGGCCTAATATTGTCGCCGATCTGGCCCCCAAATCCAGGATCGGCGAGCTTATGGGGTATATGACCTTCTCTCAAGGTGTGGGAAGGCTGATAGCAACAGCGTTAGCCGGCCCTTTATACGACATGAACGTGAACGTCCCATTTTCTACTGCATCTGGTGGCTGTCTAATAGCAGGCCTCATGTCTTGGGGCATGTACTATCGAATCAAGCAACAATCTACTGGCATCAGATGAACATGTGGCTTCTCATATTGTACGTCGTCATGGGGTAGGGCCAGTTCTCACCATCTTGATAGGCATTTCTACAACATTTGATTTTTACAACAGCTACTCGTCTGTCTTGTATCAACGTCGTTCTTACATCGACTGTTCTTACCAGGGGTTGAGCAGCTTTTTCGATGGTCCCGAATATTATTGAGAAGATTAGCCACTCACTGCTAGATGGGCCAGCTTCTCACGAGTTTCACTGACAATCGCATTTATTGTACTTGCGTTATAGCAGTTCGATCATATAGCGAACAGGCTTATTGAGTGGTGAGTTCGTCTCAAAGTATCGTTTTGAAGTTCGGCAGCTTCGACACAAAGCACTGCCTGCCAGAGCTTGTCTCCATAGTACTTATCGAATACTCCCTGCGCACGGCTGGTCAACCAGGTTGACTCAACCTACGGGTCTAAACTCCTCCTTCTGGACAGGCTCATGCCTCGCCTGAGTTTCGGCCGGGCTACGTCATCGCTATGTCTACAGTCTCCATCGGCAATTAATTTTATCATAGTTTTCCTCTGATATTTGCTTGCGATTGATATCATACCATAGAGATGCTTGTTTGGTTATGCATCAAAGGGGCAAGGGACGTACAGTCAACAGTGATACCGCTTTGGTCGCTATGGCCTCTCTGAGGTGGCTACTGTATCTCTCGTCACTGCTCTGCAGTTTCGCGCGGATCCCTGAAGATCCAGTGGTTTTCCTACAATCGTATCAGCGTCCGATCGACAAGGGGAAAATCTCGATAGAGTTTCTATTGTGTCAAGTACGGCAAGCCCAGCTCACAAGAAGGAGGTTCCCCTGGGGTCAGCAAGTGGCCCATTCTCTCTTCCTCAACGACGTATTGCCGTTCGCCTCTCTATCGGAAGAAGCGAGTGACTTCCGTGGTTGCAATGGTTCAAGTGGCCACGGCTCGGAGTTCATCAGCTTCATGCAGTCTCTAGTGAAACCGTGCTTAGATGCCACTTGCGCTGTCATGACACTCAACGAGAAAGCCTGGGAGTTCACCAAACCGCCAATTACCTTTGTGGCCGCCCCTCCTAATGAGGCTGATCCCTACAGCCTCTACGATGTGATCGAAAGGAAGAGTTCCTCTTGCACGGGTGACTCCGGAGCTACACTCGTAAATGGTGATGTCCTCGTGACTCAGGTCTGGCCTTGTACTTGGTAGCGGCGCTGAGGTCTGTTGGTGTACCAGCGAGAGTTGCAGGGACACCTCACTGGAATAAGGGCGGTGTCGAGTGTCCCAATGGAGATAAGGATGCTCCGTGTGGCAATCACAACTGGGTAGGAGGCGTCTCTGTCGGTTCTTTCAAGGATCCACGTGTGCTTGTGTATCAGGTAGAGGCGTATATCCCCGAGCATGGGGAGAGTCCAGCCGGCTGGGCAGTGGTAGATCAACGCAGTGTGCCTTTGCGGGCTCTTAATACTTCTTTTTTCATTCCCTCACCGGCTCACGACCAGGATGGTTCCACCGTGAACCATACAATTTACGCCGCGTCCTTTGCTCCGCCAGAGATGCTACTCCATGAATGTGACTATCCAGTGGGATTAGGAGTGCACCCAGCGAAGAACTTCCCTCTGGTTTTCGACTGGTCCTATCAATCAGTGCCGGCTTGGAATACCACTGTCATGTACCACAACTTGGCCGGCCGATGGTATCGCGAAAATTGCCCGGCTGCCGCAGCTGCCGAGATTGTTTAATCATCTGTTGTCGTCGAATATCTCTCATTTCTTGTATTGTTGACCCTTTTCGACCCCTATAGTATCTGTGGTGTGTTAATGATGGGGTTTCCCCAGAGATTCCCTGGAGTAGCAAGATGCGCCAATGATTTCCAACGTAGAGCGAAAAATTGGCTCATCTCGCTGTACAGGATGGCAGCGCCGTTCTTGGGAAAAGGGTCCTTGGTCGTGGTCGAACTCGGATAGAAGATTACAGAAACCAACGAGAATTTCCCCAAATTTACTTTGAATTCTCATCTTGTCACCACCACGTCTAGTTGACCATGTGCATATTTTCGCAGAATGCATTCTAGGGCACCTCAAATTCTGGTTGACCATAACACAATTTAATTAGATATCACAAGGCCTCTGAAATCCTCAGTCGTGAGAGCTACCGTAGCTCAGCTACGACGTGAAATGCCTCCCTGAATTGTGTCGTCTCTGTCCCTTCCTGCCAAGGGGGGGGGCTCACTGGTTTGTGTTGGCCCTGTCCCTTCACAATGTTGGAGGAGAAGAAGGGAAGCCCTCTCGGTCAACTGGCACACTGTACACAAGGTTGATTTCTACGGATGTCGAGAAACTTTCCGAGCAACGTAGCGGTCATTCTTATTGTATGAATGACCATTCTCAGTTTCCTCTCGTATTATCACTATGGTAGCTGCTTCTACAGCCAGTGGCTCGACCTCTGGCGAAAGTGATCCCACCTTGGCCCATCGTGTTCTCTGCGTTCACGGCCATGCTCAGAGCGCTGAGGGCTTCCGTCAGAAGACTGGTGGTATCCGGAGGCAGTGCAAGAGACTAGTCCATTTTGAGTACGATATAACCAGCAGGTCAGTAGTGCTCCTTGTCATCCCCCTCTATCTCAGCTTCCTCCAAGGGCCCTTCGAGGTGCCTCCAGATGACGTTTTCGCCAGCCATGACCCTGACAGCGAGAAGACTTACACTTGGATTGATCCTAAGAAGGAGAGTCCGGTAGGTTTGTAGGCGGCGTGTGTGGTTTCCCACAGTTTCTTCTCCAGGAAAACTTGGGCGAGTTTTTTGTAGAGAGCATTGCGAAGGCCATGACCCCAGAGACACAGGGCTTGTTTGGGTTCTCCATGGGTTGCCCTGCCATCCTTCTCGCTATGGCTCGGTACCCTCAGGCATTCGAAAATGTGAGCTATCGTAATCATCTAGAATCACTGATCATCTGTTCTCGGTCATTCTAGGTAAAGTTCATCATACTCTGTGGCGCATTTTTCCCACAGAATAATAGCGAACAGGAAGCAGAAATTCGTGCTTGTCCCCTGTGGCCCAAGGTGATGTTATAAATAGTCGCCTCGTCGCCACTAATTCTCATCTCGTTAGGTTCGGGCGATGTTCATCTGTGGCAAGTCAGATCAGGTGGTCGCCGAAGACCGTAGCCTTAGAGTTGCCAAGATGTTCACTGATCCAGTTATATTCGAACACGCCAAGGGCCACATGGTCCCCGCAGAGGCTCGGAAGGATGTGAAAACGTTTGTTCAGGAATCTCTGGAGTCTGAGTAGCTTTCAACCACTGGGCTAAGTTTCTGTTACTAACTGTGCAGTGCTGGTGATGGTGGTATTGCGTTCCATACCTTTCGGCCATCGATTTTGCGGTTAGGGCCACCGTTTCAGCGAAAAAGGGAATCACATTCGCAGATGGTGGCGGTCGAATGAGGAAATTAATTTCGCGGATAGGGACATCAATTTCGGGTTGTAGTTTCCACCACACAAATGAAGAGCTCTTGACAGTGCGCAATGATGTATGCGAATGAAAGAGCTCCTCGCTGCGTGAAGTCATGCTCTGTGGAAAGCTTGCCATCTGCAGTGTTCCATCTTGCCCGTACCTATTGCTTCCGTTAGCCAGACAGGAGGCGTCATCGAGCTCCAAAATCTATCGGCCCTGAAAACGCTCCCGAGAACGCAGTTCAGACTCCTGTTGTGTAGATGAAATTGCAACCCGAAATTGATGCATTTATCCGTGAAACGGATTCTCATATTTGACCGCCACCACGAAATTGACGCTCGCGAATGTGGCTTTTTCCGATTGCTAGGAGTCAACATTTCCCTATGCCCCGCCGTAGTCGGCTTCGCCCTAGAGTACTGCTAGTGGCCCTGGCCTTGGCCCTCGGAGGACCAAGGTTGATGTGGAGCGTGGGCGACACGGTGAAGGGCGTGCCAAGTCTGCTCATCCTACCGATAGTGTGGCCCATGGCCTCCATCAGCGCCACTGTCAAGGCGTGCCCAGTTATGGCCTCCCTCCTTGGCCTCGCCCTAGGATCATATTTCCTCCAGTGGTTGATGCGAATCGTCAAGCCAAGAGTAGCAGCTGTTAAGGGTAAGTCTCCATCAGGCCCTTGAATGAGACTGACAGTTTTTCTATCAGATGAGTTAACCTTTGAACCAGCGCCACTCTTCGGTCGCTTCCAAGTGTGGCGGGTCTTCACATATCCCCTGGTTCATCCCAACTTCGCCAGCCTTATGGTATCGACTATTCATTTGCTTTTCAGCTTGGACTTGGAGTCCACTCCCAACATCGATCTTCCTGGTGGGGCTAACCTGCGCTGTGGTACCGCTGCCATTTCCGCTGGCTTCTGCTACCCCCTCTGTGGCATCGGGTCGAGACATCTCGCAGTGCTCGTGGTCTTAGCAACAGGCACATCAGTGTTGGTCGGGTCGTGTGGCCGACTAAGGGACAATTGGACCATCGTATTTGGAGGTCTATCGACCGTATGCTATGCTGTTGATGGTGCTATCATTACTATCTATGTATTGCTTGCTGGTGCCGGTGTAACACTGCCGCCCGACCCTTCCTTTGTTTCCGTCAGGCTGTTCATCGCAGCACTGCAACTATGCATGGATTTAGTCACTTCGGAGCCTCGAAAGTCTCTCCTGGACTTCGGCTCACTTGCGCACTCAACAGCCTTCCTCTGCGGTGTAGCCTACGTCACATCTGTAACTCCCATGTTGGGCTCTACCAACCACTCGTGGCCGGAGCGACTCTTCCGGCCAGCACTGGCGGGCTACCCGCGTTACGTTGTACCTTGTCAACGGAGCTCAACGAGATGTTTGAATATCTTGCATCCGAGCCTTCAAGTCTCACTATACAGCGTGCGCATCTTCTGGTTAATGCTCAGCCTAGTTGTGGCCGTCTTAATGGCTATTGCGATCTCTCGGAATGTTCCAGGAAGACCTCAGCGGCTACCGGTGATGTCAGAATTGGATCGGCTAGTGGGCGGCTACTCCACTGAAGCCAGACGGGCCGAGCACTCGAAGCGTCCTACTATGGACGAGAAGCCCACAGGAGGTTTGGGAGACATTCTGTGAACGTAAAACTATTTTGTATCATTTCTTTTGTCGACTATTGTGTTCGTCAAGTCGGGGATAAATGCTATTGCGACTTGCCGTTCCCTTCTCGGAGGTCTCCACTATTGGGGAGATGAATGAACTTACACTTTCCACCTACCTTTGACGGTTAGGGCTGTGTGGTACACTCTCACGTGGCCGATCTGTCTCCACAGGAATCCTCCAGCAACTACCGTACATACTTCACAACTCTATCTATCCCATCTACCTCCACTTCCCTCAACACAACAGCTATCCGGTTCAGTACGCCGACAAAAGCTCTCTCAGGGTGACGAGTACCGTCTTGGAAAATACTCATTGATTACCCAGTGATTCTCAAAATAATCATGTATGGACGTTGTCCGATGCAATCACTCTTTTCCGATAATCTGGGGGGCAGCTCCATCTCTACTGGCCGTGATCGGAACATTCACCACTTCACGAGGCTGCCGTGTTTCCTTCCAACCCAGGATCTTCTCCAATAGTAACAAACACGTCGAACTAACAATCATCACTGCACCTCCGACACTGAGTGGATGCACGGGGGACGAGGTTGCTATCCGTTGCCACACGAAGGACAAGGCGACGTCCAGCTGTCGGAGCATGGCGCAGTTTTGGGGCTTCTCAATTTGCATTGCCCTGTTGAAGGCAAACTGTGTGCCAACTCCAAAGATGCCAGCGATAATACCGAGTTGATATGCTCTGGTGTTGGATGTGAATGGAGGTAGCTGGAAGGAATTCGGGATAGACAAGGCCACGATGGTGCTCATGACAGTGCCAGCAATACCCCAATAGAAGACCATCACGTAATAGTGAACAGCACCTCCGACGTAGCGAACGACAATGGGGACAAAACCGCCGATCAAAGCACCGAGGAGAGAGGCGAGGATAGCCGAGACTGCCGTCTCTTTCCCACCGTCCTGCGGAACCGCTGCTGAGCCGAAGAGGAAACTCGGCCTGGCGACGAAAATCACACCAGTGAAGCCAAGGAAGAGGGAGCACACCTCTACTTTGGTCGAGGGTTCTCGTAACAAACAAACTGCATAGAGCATCGTGAAGAGGGGGTTGGTGAAGAATAGGGCATTGGCATCGGCTACCGGCATGCTTCCGATCGCGTAGTAGAGAAGGAAGTTGGACATCGCGCCGAGAAAGCCTCTGAAAAGACACACCAGACGGATGCCATGTGGACCGACTGGGTTAACTCCCGCATAGTAACAAGCTATCAGGCAGACCAGTAGTTGTATGAGAGATCGTCCGAGCATGAGCTGGGCACTGGAGAACGTATCACTCGCTAAGTGAGCACAGACTTGCATAAGGGAGAAGAACAAAGCAGACAGGACACAGAGACCGCTGCCGAGGAGAGACGTGGGACCAACTATCGTCCTGGGCTGATTGGTTTCAATGCTGCTGCTACTAGATCGAGAGATCACAACCAGCTCGACTTCATTCGACCGCGGAGTTGTTGGTGATGAGAAGGCTCTGGGATTGGCCATAGACTTGTTACACTGTGAGTTTACTGTTTCGCTTCCTCCTTACCCTGATGTCAATTGATGATAGCCTCTGTGTAATGTCACTAGCAATCTACACCAACCGTGAAACATGATACAAATCCGTTACGTAATTCGTCATCACTCCGATCCACAAGCACCCGAACTTGACACAAGAGTGATGGTCATTTGAAAACATCGTAGCTCGGTGGAAAGGCGGAGGACATGATGATACCAAAAATTAATCTTCCCGCCAAGCTTCGGTGATCAGTGCTTGAACATGGTATCATCAACCCTCAACGGGGCTACCAATAGGGTCATGGCAGAGGCGTAAAGTAAAGAGATGACGAGTAGTAGCCGAGAACATAAGAGAAGAGCTCGTCCCAGGCTAAGGAAGCCTACGAGACTCGTTCCGGTGACATGCTCATCAAGGTACTTCTGCACACTATCAAGAAAATGGTATCGCCAACGGCGATTCGCCATCAACGGCCTCTTTACTGCCTGGCGAGCAAGGTGACCCGCTAAGATGTGCACCACGGAGTTGGTACGAACAGTCGCCTTGAGGCGACAGTGGGGATGGACGAAGATACGCTATAAAGAGCGGCTTTCAACCTGGTGGACGCATCTTATCCCCAAGGCTTGGTCGATTCACCAGCTCCTTGTGCCATGTTATGAGCGCTTATCAGCCACGATCAGTTACATCGATTCCGCCAAGCTCAAGTTGACTGACGGTAACGCCGGAGTCCCGACAATCTGGTGTTTGCTCAAATGGCCTGCAGCCTTCTCCCGCTTGTCGGTACCAGAAAAATCGACCTCACCTTTACGTAGTGCATTTTGCGACCATTTTTCAACTATTCAAATTCACCGACTGTTGCGGAGCCTAAAATTGTCCACGTAACCATAGAGAAAGGAAGGTATGGGAGTTACCACTACGCTGATGCTAAGAACCTTCTCGCTTATCTGAGCGAGCTCAAATTTCAGAAGTTTGCAAATATAGATAGAATGATCGGAATCCGGTATATGTCCCTTTTCTGTCACTGAAGTTCACCCTCATGAACAATGGCTCGAAAACCTACCTCAGCGAGTTCCGCACTGGGAAGACTTACCACATTCCGCATCTTATTCGAGATGCGTTCGCGAAGGCTCTCTTCAAAAAGCCGTCTCGTGGCTCTAATCTTGCCTTGAAAGAGAGAAAGGTTGCGACGCCATACACACACTGCAAATGCGGGATTGCATCACTCATCGGGCGCGCGCGAGATTCAGCTCATTTTCAAATTTTCGATCCAACGACCAAATTCCAACTTGCCTCCAATACCGCTCCTAACAGCGATCATATCCTCAGTTGAACATTCTGGGGATGATCTTGCGGGATGCTCCTCGAGCCACAGCGGTCTCTACCCCTCCTTTCTGAACAAGCTGTAGTTTATTCGACCTCCATTCGTAGCAAGATGTGAAATGAACACATATTCACATCGTAAATTTTGTACATTAGTCAATCACAGGAGCATCATATTATCAAAACTTATCATCAGTTGACTTAACCTTCCCTCATGGGCAAGAAGGCAGCTGGTAAGGGCAAGAAGGGCAAGGCGGCGAAAGCACCTCCTGTGATAGAACCTCCCAAGTGAGATCTCATAGTACGAGATAGAACCTGTTGGGACTCGATTTCCCGCCCAGAGAAGCATAATAGGATGGATTTTATGATTGTTCTATGAGCTAGCTTGTTTATCGCATTCTGTGCATTTGTTCGACTGGTTGAAGTTGTTGATGATGATGAACGTTTCATCTGTGACTAGTATAATCTACCAAGTCAAACGTGTATAATTCTGTTCCCGCTAGAAACGCATTAAAAGAGCGAGTTCTGTAATCGGCATCACCTCAGATTTTCCCATCCTGAGTTCAAACCTGCCCGCCTAGACTCCCGGGTTGTCCAAGCGACCATCAAGCTTGCCGCGCCGGTGTGCACCCTGTTAGAGTTCACCAAAGCACTACCTCCGGTAAGGAGAGTACACTACCTCTATATAGTCCCCGTATTGCCATGCTATGGTAGACTACCAAAATATCACATATAACGGACTTGATAGTCAAAAGGCACGGTGGCAGTATACGGGAAGTGTCGGTGTGTGTCAACAGGTGAGCTTACTCTCGGGGATCATCCTTCCTTATGTGGTGTGGGAGACTTTACAGTACACTGCGGTATACACTATGGTGTGACACCATTATGTAAAATCATAGGAATGTTCTTTTGAATGTTGAGAGCACTAGTCTTGCTTGTAAAAGGGCTTCTGCTATGTTGTCAGCCAATTCACATTCTTATTGACACTTCTGGAAACGAACTGGAGACATTGCTTAGAATCACGGGGTGGCTCACACTGCTCTAACCCACCCGGGTTCAGTTCTGTGGTATTAATCGCTCCCTCCCTCCCTTTCTTGTACAGGTTCCATCCCGAGGAAATAATCCGACCAGATGAGACACTTGAGGTGAGGGTAGCTACTGCGTGATGACATGGATCTGGCGTTGTCGTTGTGGTGCAGGATTGTGGTATCACTGGAGGAGAGTGCGTCGTCTATTACGACTTTGTGCCACTCACAGGAGCATTGCTGCAATAGTGAGGGAGTATATTGAACCTCCTCACAAGTCGTACCATGATGAACCACATTGAGATGTTCAATGTCTAGTCGTCTTTGTGTTTGAGATTGACTAATGGGAAGCTGAGTAAGTACATATTCCCCATGAATCGGTGGAGGGGTGAACGATCTCTATACGAAGGGGACATAGTATTCGCCAAGTACCGATACGGTGTGAAAATCATAGCTAAGGAGCTGAGTGCCGTTGAATCCAATAAGGATTTCATCAATAGTCAACTGTGTAGAAATTTGTGTAGATGACAACCCGAGTGCTGAGATGAATTAGAACTGGCTTTACTGTCACCCGTGCTAGCCTTACGGTCTATCATGTTGAAAGTTTGTCGTTGTGATTCGTATTATCAATAGAGGCAGGCCACGTGTTCCGGTATGAGTGGGAGTCATCATCGTATAGATTATCAACGACAGCTGTAGTAGATGGCTTGCTGCGTTTGCTTCTTACTGTGGCTAAAACTGCTAAGAATGCAATCGTAGGCTGGCCGAGGCGGATGTATTGGGTTTTGAATCGAAAGCCGTTGACGTGGAACTGTCAACTAAGTAGAGTATATTCTGTTGACGCATTCCATCATCGCTTAGTGGTGATGAAGAATAACGGAACGACTCATGGTCTGTCATATGCGCTTGTATCCGCACGCATACGCATCCACGTGTTATTATAACACAGCTATCGATACACTCCATCGTCATGTTTGGTGAAGCAACCGTTAAGGGTGATTGTTGAACTAAGAACTCGAGACCGAGCTGATTTGCTGCTGTGGGCCACAGTGGAATGACCCGCTTCGCTCGCCCTTTGATGAGGTTGAGACTCGCTCGGCCATCATTTCCATCTCCGTCAACCTAACCAGATCTCAACGTAACGATAGTGGCTGGGTCGGATCATTGTACAACGTGCGGTTACGAGTATTATACGCATGCAGCATCGATATTCCGGTTCTGCATTGACCCTAGGGACGAGAAAATATCCGTGTTAACGACGAGAATGATTTCATGATCAAGGAGATAAGGAGGTCTTCGTATTGGAATAACCTCGAGGCTGAGACAACGCCTCGTATATAAGTAGGAATTTCACCAGTGTACTCACTCGGTAATCAATGGCTAATTCCACCCCTACTGGCACTGCTGCATTCAAAAGGATTCTACTAGCGGTCGTCGTAAGCTGTATCATGAACGCCTCGTCTCTTGAAGTAACTCCAGTCCCTTCCTGTGTCGTGCATTATGTGCTACTGTCCCTCACTAGGTGACTATGGGAAGTGGCGCTGCGTGCTCTGTTGAAGGTCTTTATGGCCGTACAGTGATGTTCAAGTGGCTTCCAAACACCGCCTCACCCTCCCTGTTGGAATACACTAAGCCGTCCATTAGCATCATCTACCTCAGTTGTAATGGCAGGAGCGCACTGGAGTAAGTCCATGCACAGTACTCATCTCTAGCATATACGCTTTATTTCAGCGCTGCTGAAGCCACGGTAGCTGTTGAGGAATGGATACCCAAGGTTGAGTCAGCGGCCCGAACGACTGCCAGCCAGGCTCGTGAACCTTCGTTGTCGGAGATGTGCAAAATATCAGTGGAAGCCATGGCGAAGTCGGAAATGAATGTCGGGGGAAAGAATGCGAATCAAGGTTTCATAACGAAGTTGTGCAGCAGAGTTGAACCATTGCATACTTCCCTTGCCGAGGCCCGTTCCGAAACTGATTATGAGCTTGTGAAAGAGGAAACGAAGAAGATGAAGAAGAAACGCTTTAGGCTTTTTTCGGGGAATTCTTTCCGGAAGTTATGATAGACCGTTGTGGTGATGACGATGTCAATAGATGTCATGTCCATTGCGAGTGTCGTTGAGTTCGTTGAGTATAAGCGATGCCAGTAGCTAAGTGAAAGCCGACACTCTCTGCAGGGGACACTGTTCTGATCCGCCGCGGCTTGAGGACTCAACTGCTCAGACATACTGAAGGGGAGAGCAGATTATAGCAATATTTACGAAACAGAGGCAGTAACTCGATCACTAGCCTCAGCGTTTACACAAAGCTTAAAATAGATGGACACATGGGACAGGCGTCACATCTTCTACACACTCTGCCTCTTCAGAGTAGTATGTGAACCTCATGGGATGTTAAGCTCGCAATAGAGCAGTCTCAATCCCGTTTCGTTTCGGATCACGGGGCACCGAAGTCATTTATCGGCATGCATGCTTCCGGCATCCTCAGCATTTCTAATGTCTATTGTCTAATGCCCCGATGAGTTGCATATAGAAGACCGCATATACGAGGTGCTTGGTCGAGGATGTCGTGCCACTTGGTGCCTGAGAGTACATGTATTTCTACACGGCGATTTCAGTTCCGAGATCATATGTGAAATTTTACAGTTCGAAATTTTAAGCTATAGAAGTTAGTAGTCCACAAGTGATTTCTATCTCTACATGTCTCGTCCACTGCGGCTGCTGCCCTCGAGATAGTCCTTTCTGAGCTACACAGTATCAAGTACGCATGTGCCTGTGCTGTTCATGTGAGATCCCCGCACTAGCATTCAAGATTGTTCGTGGTAGGCAGGCTCAACTCGAAACCGCTCTCCATGGAGTTCGCCAGACTCACAATGTGATGGGATGTCTGTAAGTGGCTCGGTTGATGTCGTCTACAGTTTCATCATATCCGGCCCCAATACTCGGCAATGTACAATGTCTTCCATTCTTGTTGTTGCCAAAAGTGTTGTTACTGAGAAGGCAGTGTTACCGAGCCGAGGCAACTGGTTGCAGTTCTCTAAGGATTCTGAGAATGGAAGTTCTCATTGCTGGTCGAGTTCGATAATAAGCAACTCAATAACCGTGTGTGCTACGCAGACTGCATAGTGGACTAATCAGTTTAACACAAGAGCATATATAGTGCAAAGGAAAAACCTAGTATATTGGTATCACACAGCTGTTCACTTTTTGGCCTTTTTTCTCGGGATTGGATTCCATCTCCATCTCCTCATCGACGATCTCTTCAATGGACCCATCCGGCACCTTATCCTTCTTGTAGATCACAATGTACGCTATTTGAGTATCGGCCCGACCCCCGACCAACTCGTCCACTAGATACACACTGATGCGGTGTCTCCTCACAGTAGAGGATACTGCGACCTCTAGTCATACTGAGTGACCTTACCATCATTGAACCGAACCCATTGGTCCTCTTTAAATACATCCCCATCAGCTTCCTTAAACCCAAAGGACAAAGTCCTGACCAATGCCATAGCCCGACCCATAGTGTCCACCCTCAG